AAATTGTGCTTTGTTTCGATTTCAGGCTAATGTCTTCATTTTGAATTCACCTAAATTTGACTTTCCGGTAGACCCGGAAGTAAAGGTCAAGCGAGTTTACGTACACGACAAAAAATGTTGATCAATTCATGGTCTATCTCATTACAAGGTTGGAGCATAATTGATCATTTTGTTGAAGAGTTATAGATGAAAGAAGATCGTCATTTTTCAACGAAAATCGCTTGTAATTTGACATCCGATGACGTCATCATGACGTCAGTGTAATATGCACTACTCGGAATGAGGGTCAATATATGCTAATAGTTACAAGTTCATATCATATACCGTTTAGGAGAAAACCCGCGGAAACGTGCTGTACGGAAAAAAAAGAAAGAAAGAACTAGAGTTTCGCGTTTGTTGAGTTACAAACGCAGAGTGGTCGGGCGGACAGCCTTCTCATTATACACTGCCCAGCTAAGTTAGGAATATATGTAGAAAAAAGGATCACGAAATTAAATCCCTTTAAGTACAATCAATGTTTCAAAACGGTATCTTTAACGGTGTGATAAACTTCAGTAAACAATCTATGTGCACAAAAAGTTATTTCTAGTTTGATGACGTCATCAGTCAAAAATGGTTAGTGAATACTGATAAAGTTCGGAGAGGATAATTTGTCATTTAAAATTAAATAACGTATGAAAATATGGGAAATATAATTGTTTGTATTAATATCACATAACTTCCGGTTTGACGACGTATTTATAACACCTAACTTCCGGTTTGATGACGTCACAGCATTAGAGATCCAAAGGTGAACATTGTAATGGATATCATTATTTGGACTTCGAAGATATGACAGGGATCAAATGATAGAAATAAATTTAAACTTTGATCATTTTCGAATTCTCCTTAAAGTAACTTCCGGTCTGGTGACGTCATGAATTTGAAACCTTGCCACCTTATCTGTGATTAATCAGAGAATGTCAAGGGGCGATTTGGTAAAATTTGGACAGATAGTTTTACAATTACAGAAGGGAAACTATATTTTATGTGCCGATAGGGGGCGCCCTTTCGGATGATGACGTCATCACACTGTTTTTTGCGTCTTGCATTCCTCACTATACACTTTCATAATATATATCTGTCTGTAGTGAAATGCTTCCGCTTTTGAGTAATATTCAGTTTTTATTGCACTTCCGGTAACACCGGAAGTAAAGGTCAAGCGATTTTGCGTTCGGGAACATGAAATGTTTCTCACGGCATAGTCTACAACCTCACGAAAAAACGAACACGATACTCTATTTAGTTCAAAAGATATAACGCAAACTATTTTGTCAAAGTTTGCCCTTAAATCGCTTGTAATTTGATACCTGATTACGTCATGACGTCATGATGACGTAACAAAATGTACAACATCTTCGTAACATGGTACAAGTTCACACAAGGTTTTGTGATCATACCGTGAACCGTTCGGAAGAAATGCTGCTTTGTTTTGATGTCAGGCTAACGTCTTCATTTTGAATTCACCTAACTTTGACCTTCCGGTAGACCCGGAAGTAAAGGTCAAGCGAGTTCACGTACACTACAAAAACTGTTAAGCGATTAATGGTCTATCTGATTACAGAATACAAACATCATTGATTGTTTAGTTCAAGAGTTATAGGTGAAAGTAATTGGTCACTTTTTCAGATAAAATCACTTGTAATTTGACACCCGATGACGTAATCATGACGTCAGAGTAATATGCACCACTTCGGATGAGGGTCGATATATATTGAAAGTTACAAGTTCATACCATATACCGTTTAAGAGAAAACCCGCGGAGAAGTATTGTCCGGAAAAAAAAGAAAGAAAGAAAGAAAGAAAGAAAGAAAGATTAATCGTAACAGATCCAAAGAGTGGTCGGGTTGTGCCCGACCACTCAAAGAAAGAAAGATTAATCGTAACAGATCCAAAGAGTGGTCGGGTTGTGCCCGACCACTCAACAAGAGTGGAATAGAGAGTGAATAGCACTGACTGGGGGAGATCGAATTTTAGTCGATTAATGACACCCACGTTTCTTGCAATAATAGAACATAAAATAATGGTCAATGTGTTGTTTCCAAGATAAATTTTGATCTATGACTAAGCCAAGAAATTTAGTGCCAAAAAAAACGGGAAATAATATTGTTATCCATGATAATATTACTGAGCAAAACATTCTGTGATATACTAAAAAGCATACAATTGGTTTTATTAAGGTTAATAGACAATTTGTTGGCCTTCATCCAGTCCGCAATGTGAACCAACTCAGAGTTGAAAGTTGCGATAAGAGTGTTCAAATTGTGATGAGTATAAAACAAGTTGGAATCATCAGCATACAGGATAAAGGACAACACATTGGAGCAATTGGTAAAATCATTAATGTAAATAATAAACAATAATGGCGCACTAATTAACGGCTTTAAAGGAGAATCATTGTTGTTAATATTATTGACACATACTATTTTCTATTAGAGAGATAACTTCTGAACCACTCCAAGGCAACTCCACTGCGGACACCATAACGAGCTAAGTTTAAAAAAGAGAATATCATGGTTAATGGTGTCAAATACCTTGGAGAGGTCCAAAAAAATCCCAACAGTGTGGGTACAATTATCAACAGCGGATGAAATTTTATCGATTAAATCTAGAATAGCGTGGGTGGTAGAGTGTTTGTCACGAAAACCAAATTTGGAATTAGAAAGGATATTGTGATTCTTCAAAAAGTAGTACAGGGTTTGGAACGAGATCGGAGTTTCGGGGTCCGCTCCGTAAGTCCGACGCCTCATAAGTCCGACGCCTCATAAGTCCGACAAAATCGCATCCCCAACCGAACAAAGGCACATAAGTCCGACGCCTCATAGCTCCGACGCCTCATAAGTCCGACGCCTCATAGCTCCGACGCCTCATAGGTCCGACGCCTCATAGCGGTACGACGCCTCGTACGCTTCGTTTTTCCAGTGTCGGACTTATGAGGCGTCGGACTAGGCGTCGGACCTATGATGCGGAATAAATAAATGTTATGTCTCATAAGTCCGACGCCTCACAAGTCCGAAATTTCGGACAGTTATGAGGCGTCGGACCTATGAGGCTTTGGACTTATGATACGGCCCCTGAGTTTCTTGGTGTTTGAGCGAGATTCACTCATTCTGGAATGGTTAGTAGAGTTCCAGGTTTTAACATACACAGTCCAATGTGGAAAACAAAGCCGTTTTGGCTGCTACAGACGGAAATTCGGGCACTTTTTAGGTGTTTTACGGGACGCGCTTATTCAAACAACATGTCACAGGGCGCCCTCATTTTTCATTAGAGAAGAGGTAAGACGGCGAGAGGAGAGGAGATTGGCACAGCCACACATAATGCCGCGCCCATTGAAACAGTGGACCTCTAACATCCCACTGACCTTACGGCCACTAATGGCTATGGGATATACCTTCACCCTTTTACTTCTAATGATGTGTCTAATTTTGAAGGTCCCCGGACGAAAATCCTTCGATACAGGACGTTAGGTTATATCAGGCGCGGATCGTGGGGGGGGGGGGGGGGGGGGGGGGGGGTTGGAGTCCAAAAAAACCCAACACCCCAGCTCTGTCAAAAAAAGAGAAAATTCCTAAAAAACAAATTCCTAAAAAACAAATCGAACCCCCCCCCCCGTGACACCCCCCGAAAAGTTATACTGTCTGGTATAATGTCCGCCTGTTCAAAATACGGTACACCATTCTGTAATCTAGTGTTAATAATCGTCGAATTTGAACAGCGCCCCACCCCCCCCCCCCCACCCCCAGTTTTTTATTTTACGGAGGCCAAGTGTCCGGAGAAAAAAACCTGTGTACATTTCCAGATTTATTTGCTGATGAACCCCCCCCCCCCCACGAAAATTCCTTGATCCGCCCCTGCAAAGTGTTTTTTTTAAAGCTCAACTGATACAATCAGACGGAACGGAATGTCATCCAGTCTCACCAAAATGATAACATCATCGAATGCGAGCCCGAGTTGTCAGTGGCCTCTCCGGGGAGGGGGGGGGGGCACTCTCCCCCCGCCAGCGGAAATTTTTTCACATCATATTTGATTTCAATAAATGGTTGAGTTGTTATTGTGACATCAATCCCGAAAAACACAAATGCTCAAAAAACATGCATTACAAGCCTGGGGCGCCGTGAAAATAATTTGCAGTATACATAATGGTCAGTTGTGAAGAGCGCCCCCATTTGGAAGGTGGGTACGGAGGCCAAGTGTTCGGGAAAAAAAATATGTCTACATTTCGGCGCGGATGTGCAGTTGCCCCCCCCCCCCCCGACATCCAAAGCTGGCGCTACTGGCTATTATTCGGCACCAAAAGTTGCAAGAATTTTGGAATTTTCTTTGGTGATTCGTTGTTGTATAAATACATTTTTTCTATGATATATTTAAAGGGTCTGTGTCGTGTAAGCCAATGAGCAACCCTTTGTCAAAAATGATTTGAGCAAATTTTGGGTTCGCGGCACAATTTGAACCAAAACCCCCCTAAACTGATACGAACAGCTCTTCCTGAAATGACACCACAGCAACAGCGCCCTCAGTTGTCCGGAAAAGAATGGAACATTTTAAATGTTCAAAGAAGAGCACTTTTCAATAAAATCAACCAAAAACAGCATGTCTATGATAGTTTTTTTTATACATTAAGAGGAATAGAAAGTTGCACAAAGTGTGTTCCTAAGTTTAAGAAGTATTCATTGAACATATCCTTTAAATATATCATAGAAAAATGGCATTGATGTGATCCGCCGAAAGGAGCAGTAGCGACCTTATGTTTATATGTTTATTGCAGTCACCCTTGGGACATGAAAAAGCGGCATCACGGGTGTCGCCAGGATTTTTTTTTCTAGGGGGGGGGGGGGCAAAGCACATATCCCCCCGAAACCCCTGTACTTTTCCAGCATATTCTCGATTATAATTTTTCGAGGGTGGGCAGGGACAACGCCCCCCCCCCCCATTTTTAATATAACTTTAAGCCTCTTTTTCTTCCTTTTTCTCTTTTTTCCCTACTTTTTTTCTTGGCTTTTCCGGGGGTTGGGGGCAAGCGCGCCCCCTTTTGTCCCCCTTGCAACGTCAATGAGCGGCATACGAAGTGAATAAAAGATTTGATTACATCCCGTTGTCTTAAATTGGCTTCCGTATATTTTATGGCTACACGTAATTTCTATTTTCAGTCATGTCCCGTGCGTGTGATGCGAGTGGACGCGGCCAGACTATACATACAGTTAAATGTATGTGAACATGATCTGATCACCGCCTCCTGCTGGCCCTCGCACAAAAATACAGTCACGCCGCGCGTGCCGAGCCACACACAAATAAAATCGGACGAATCTGGATCTGGAATTCTGCAAAACACAATCCATAAACGTTAGATCAACTTATTTTTATTGTCTCCTGGTTGGTGTAGATTACTGAAATGGAGGGTGGAGCTTATGGAGCTGGTAAAGCGTCAAGTTCAGGATTAAATCCGGGCGCTATCATGAGGAAACCTCAAGTCATCTTGCGTGCAGTAGCTTGGGTATGTACATGTACGTTTGCATGTGGGCGGAACCGTTGCTTCGTTCTCAAGCATATTCGAAGGGACTCCCACTCCGTATCCGCGTAGCCGGTGTGGACGGTAATTCTGTCCCCCGGTAAAAGTGTCCGGGGGGGAAAGAATTACCTAGGTAAAAGTGTCCCCCCTGTCCCGTTAATTGTGTCCCCCTCTAGCCCTGGTGGACTCCCTTTCCTCCCTACGTTATTGCAATGAAGACTTCGTCCAACCTGGGCTATGTCCCCCTCCGGGTAATTCTGTCCCCTCCAGTTAATTCTGTCCCCCCTGGTTTTGCACGCATAAGTTGTTATAATATATTGATGTTATTATAAGGCAGTGTATATTTTGCCGGAGACGGCAAACCTTTAGAAAACGTTAGTTTGCCGGATATTAGCCCCATAAATGTGGCCTATTTACTGGACTGCCTCCGTAAACATAGGCCACACATCCACATGTACAAATATCGTGTCGACGGAGCAAAATTTTGATTTTCACATTTAGGCTTAGTTTGTAGGTTTTTTTTGCTTTAGAAGCATACTCACCCTCTTTATAGGCTAATCAGAAAGTGCTGCCTTTTTCAGATGTATATTTCGTGAAATTTCCAGATTCATTTTTACACGTTTGCGTATCAAAATTTCAACATGAAATTTCACAAAAATTAGACATCTGAAAAAGGCAGCACTTTCTGATTAGCCTGTAAAGAGGGTGAGTATGCTTCTAAAGCAAAAAAAACCTACAAACTAAGCCTAAATGTGAAAATCAAAATTTGGCTCCGTCGACACGATTTTTGTACATGTGGATGTGTGGCCTATGTTTACGGAGGCAGTCCAGTAAATAGGCCACATTTATGGGGCTAGCCGGATATGCGCTGAACATGCGCAGTTACTGTTTTTTTTGTACTTAAACATTTTCCGGTGACAAGTTTTAGTCTGGCTCCATGCCAAAATTATCGTTGTTACCTCGTATTCACAAGATGGGATTCAGACCATTTTATAATTTCGGACTTTATTTCCATTTTAAAAAAAATCCTCCAGAGCCACAAATCTGAAAAAGGAAATGTAGGCCTAATACTCTGCAAAAAAATGTTTGAGACATGTTAAAATAATAAAAGAAGAATATTCTTATTTATTTGGGGATGAGAAAAAAAATAAATAAAAATGTGGTGCGGTCGGAATCGAACGCGAGTTATCCTGCTTACTAGAGCCTTTGCTTAACCATTACACCAAATGTGCTACACAACTTTTGGTGGGAATTTAATACATCTTATAATTCAGCCCTATTTTAAAGAGTACAGCGCCCTCTGTTGATATGGATTGCCGCCGGCAAACCTTTAGTAATCGTTAGATTGCCGTCATTACCTTCGGCAAAATATCCACTATCTTTAATTAATAGTAATATTAAAGTAATATTTCAAGCCCCAAGATGTACATGTACACGTACCGGTATGCAACTTTTGAACCTATAGGCTTTAGATAGACTAACACAACATCAGAACTGAACATTGAGATACATACTGTACATGTACATTCTACAACAAAAGTTTGGACAATTATAGCTAAGATGATAATGGGGCATATACATGTATCTAAATTGTAGCCCGCAAATTTGTCTCAGTTACTGGACTCAAGTCATGTATACATACAAAATCCAGTACCGATATTTGAGATACATTTATGGGGCTAGGGCATACCACGTTCACAAATATGATCAGTGTGTTTGTTTCATTTCACTTGTAATTAACAACGTCTTTTATTTCTTGTTTCTTTTGCAGCTGTTTTCAATCATTGTGTTTGGCTGCATTGCAAATCAAGGATGGGTGTCTGTCTTTGGATTAAGTGGAACATATTGCATCTTCAATTTAGATTCGAATGCCTGCAATTTTGGGATCACCATTGGTGTCTTTGCCTTTCTGGCTTGCATGGGATTCCTTGTCGTTGATATTATGTTTGACAACTTAAGCAATGTGCAGATGAGGAAATATGCTGTCATAGCTGACTTGGCATTTTCAGGTAAAAGTGAAGAGGAATTTAATTTAATACTTTCCTATTTTCAATCCCAAGGGTCTGTTTACAAAAACACAATTAGAAGGGGATAGTGAATGGACCAATTTACTCTGTGAGCTACATTTCAATTTAGTCCGAGTAACTTGGACCCAACTTATCGCCTTTTTAAAAATTTGGACATGGTCTGGCGATAGTAGGGTCCAAGCTCATTCCTCGACCTAGACAACACAGTCACTGACAGTCCCAAAAACCAACATTTTCCAACAAAAAACATCAGATTTCACCTTCAAAACGGCCTCCAAATTACTAGATATGTCACCTGAGGTACAAGTAGACATAGATGATTAAGATGGTTGTACTTAAGTTTACTTACGATCCGGAAAAAAGTGAAATTTTCCGTTCAATTCTGAAGACCCCCTCTGCCTAGGTTGTCGTTGTTGTGCTCACGTTCAAAACTGCATGATAATGGCGTCTGACCTCGACCTCATGCAAATGTCTGGACGGCGCGCTTGCGCATAATGCACGGCAGATTCCCCTGCGCCGCGCCGACGACTGTTTCCTGATGTAGAGCGCCAGCCATGCGCCTGGCTAGCCAGTGCGACTCCTAGGCGTACCGCGAACTTACACAGCGCTCTACATCAGGAAACAGTCGTCGGCGCGGCGCAGGGGAATCTGCCGTGTATGCATGCAGTGCATTATGCGCAAGCGCGCCGCACACATTTGCATGAGGTCGAGGTCAGACGCCATTATCATGCAGTTTTGAACGTGAGCACAACAACGACAACCTAGGCAGAGGGGGTCTTCAGAATTGAACGGAAAATTTCACTTTTTTTCCGGATCGTAAGTAAACTTAAGTACAACCATCTTAATCATCTATGTCTACTTGTACCTCAGGTGACATATCTAGTAATTTGGAGGCCGTTTTGAAGGTGAAATCTGATGTTTTTTGTTGGAAAATGTTGGTTTTTGGGACTGTCAGTGACTGTGTTGTCTAGGTCGAGGAATGAGCTTGGACCCTACTATCGCCAGACCATGTCCAAATTTTTAAAAAGGCGATAAGTTGGGTCCAAGTTACTCGGACTAATTTCAATTAACGTTCATGCATGTTACAGAACCTTAAAATTATTATCGAGAGAGTAAATTTGATGGTTAAGCTTGGCCTGCTTGTAGTCTGTACATTTAGGTTGAGTTTGCCTTTTGTGCTGCAGACGATCAAGGTATTAAATATTAATTATTGATCCTTATTTTCTCATTCATATTCGCGCAGTATTTAAGGGTATCGGTAAAGTCTGGTTTCTGTGTCATTAAACATAATTATAGTCATTGAGTACTAATTATGTCAGTGGACACAGAAAAGTCCCTGCTTCCACAGCTACCATGTGGAAAAGATTTCTTAACCCTAACAGAATTCAACCCATCAAACCCCAACGGCATGTTTTGTTGGAATCTGTCAGGATGGGTACAGTACCCTTAAACTGGCAGCCTTTTACATTGGGTTGGCACACCGCCAGAATCAAAGTCAGAAATATGTGTGTGCAGTTTCCCATATGGTGTTGGAATGTGCCAGGATGGGTATGGTTCCTAGTAGCCCCATAAATGTGGCCTATTTACTGGACTGCCTCCGTAAACATAGGCCACACGTCCACATGTACAAAAAACGTGTCGACTTTGCCAAATTTTAATTTTCACATTTAGGCTTAGTTTGTAGGATTTTTTTTGCTTTAGAAGCATACTCACCCACTTTATAGGCTAATCAGAAAGTGCTGCCTTTTTCAGATGTCTAATTTTTGTGAAATTTCATGTTGAAATTTTGATACGCAAACGTGTAAAAATGAATCTGGAAATTTCACGAAAAATATACATCTGAAAAAGGTAGCACTTTCTGATTAGCCTATAAAGAGGGTGAGTATGCTTCTAAAGCAAAAAAAATCCTACAAACTAAGCCTAAATTTGAAAATCAAAATTTGCCAAAGTCGACACGTTTTTTGTACATGTGGACGTGTGGCCTATGTTTACGGAGGCAGTCCAGTAAATAGGCCACATTTATGGGGCTAGGTTCCTAGTAAATCATGCAAGGGAATAATATGGTTAAGTGGTTTGAATGATAACAGTTTTTCCAGTCTTGATTTAAACAAAATTAGGTGATCTTCACATGGATTGATACATTTTCTTGTTGGTTGGTTGGTTTTCAGGCCTCTGGACGTTTATGTGGTTCGTTTGCTTCTGTTACCTGACTGATGCCTGGAGACGTGCTCCAGCTGAATTTGGTGAAATAGCTGGTGCCGGACAGGCTCGTGCTGCCATCGCTTTCAGCTTTTTCTCCATTATTCCTTGGGTAATGACTTGTATGTTCTATTCATAAATGCCCCAGACAGTTTCCCCTCCCATTGGTCGAGAGCCCGTCACGTGGCCGGTTTTAAACGGATGATAAAGACATGGCTTGCTGGTCTTAAACACTTTTCCAGTGTCACATGAAATGTAGACTCCTGTGAAATCCAGTGCCTTTTATCGTTTTATTGGTTGAACGTTCACAATCCTCACGTAGGCATGCGCAATACTACCAGTGAGTCAGTATTTCATAGTCCTACATTCACAACACACTCATCACAGCTGCATCTGCGCCTCATGGTTTCAAAGTACAACATTTAAGAGGGTGTGGAATGCTCGAAGACATTTCCGTCATTTTTCGGGTATATGTAGCCTAAGGTGTGATGAAATAAAAACGACTATTGTTTCTGTCATGAAATGAATACAAAAGGTACTTTTGAGAGCTGTTTTTTAGGTCCTGTTTCGACCCGAACGTGCAATTTGTGTAAAAGTCGTCGTTGGGGGCAGCAAACAAAACATAGTAAATTGTGACGTAATAAACAGGACTCCCTATGCAGCGTAGTATAAACGAGTCCTGTTTATTAAGTCACGATTTTTCTGATTTTACGAAGAACCCGACGACTGTTGATTTCAATTATGCGCTCGCCGAACCAACAAATTACTCGATGAATTTCAGTTTTATAAGTTACATATAAATGCACATTACAAAAGAATGGATGTTTGTCATTATGATATATATGGGTCTACTCTACAATAAAAAAAATATAGAAAAACAAAACGACTTTCAGCATTGCACAACCTCTTTAATATTCCGGTGTTGTAAAGAAAATATGGCAGTCAGAAGATATAAGGCATGTAAAACAAACTCGTACCGAGTCACTTACATGGGCAGCACAAAGTTTACTGCAACAATCAGAAATTGCAAATGACTGATAGAATATAGTTAGGGTGGGGTGCTGTGGTCCAATGGTTACGGTGTTCGACTCGTGTGCAGTGTGGAACATGGTGCTTGTGCTCTTGCGCAAGGCACTTTACCATTATTGCTTCGTCCTTCGGATGGGACGTTAAGCCGTAGGTCCCCTGTGTTGTGTAATGCAGATTGAAGAACCCAGTAACAGTTATTGCTAAGAGAAGGGGTTTACGCCGTTGTTTCTGACAGTGGCTGCAATATACGCCGCAGCACCTTAAATGTGCTAACATAATGGGTCTCACATTTTTCGTAAACTTCATTTACCCGTCTTTAAAAATAGACATAATTACCAGCGCCTTGGGTACCTTATTGTTCGTAGAATAGATGCATGTGCTATACAGGGTGGATAAAAAAAACCGAAACCGACATATTATTGCTAATTGGAACAGAAGTAGGGCACATGTGAATCAAAGGGATGTATCCTCTGTTAGGGTTAAATTCTCCAAATAGACCCTTTCATAAAATTGGTCACTGCTCAGTTAGTCGTAAATGTAATGACATAATCAGGGTGTCATTTTAAAGAGAAGATTCAACCCTAACAGAGAATATCTCCCTTTGATTCATATTTATGCCCTACTTCTGTTCCAATTAGCAATAATATCGGTTTTGTTATTTTGTATCCACCCTGTATAAGATTCCGGTATTATAGTTTTCCCATGCTATGTTTTTTTTAAAACTTGAACCCTGGACCCATAGTAACTCAGGCGTGATTATGAATCACTGCATGATGTCATGTGGGCTTGGGTGGTAAACTGTGCGCAAGCTACCTTTATATTGTCTGATTATCAGATAATGGGTCATCCCAATAGGTACATGTGTCTGATTACAAACTTGACCCTTGACCTTTCATCATAGTCTGTATGTTTTGAGATCTCCCCACATTTTTTTTTTGTCAATTGGGAATTGTATTTCAGGGGTTTGAAATTTCGTCAGTCATGTCCTTTTCAAGTACATGTTAATGTAGAAGGTTTTTTTCCGATCTTTTTGAATTGGAATCAACCATGAAAGTTTGACTAAGCTTGGACCTAAACCACAAACCTCCATTATCTGTTTTAATTTTCATTGTGAAGTAATCCTGCCGGGCCGTCCACTCCTCCCTTTTCCATTTTGCATTTAATAGTTTGTACTTTGTAATGTAATACTACATATTGGATGGGTAAAAATTCGGATATTTTGGATCTGAAGCTGCAACGAATAAAATCCGTCTGTACCCTGGACACAGCATACTAAAACCAAACACTGATTTAATTAGCCAGGCACCAGACTATTCCGTACTGATTAAGATGTACAAGATATTTGAACGTGCAAATGATCTAATAGTACCAGGATTAGAGAGCAGGTAGTCGGAGTGTACTGCTCGACCCCATGGGAACGAGGTTGACCCCGATCCTCATTGTGTACTTGTTGATATTCAAACCAAAGTCACTAGAGATGGTTGGTAGGCGAGGCAAGTACTACAACCCTTCGTTAAGTCTAGCTGGGCCGAATTTTACGGCGCTGCTAAGCACACAAATTTGCTGAGCACAAAAAAAATTTGGCTTATAAAAGCAGGTTACCAGCCAAAACTCCATGTGATTTTCATGCTAAGCAAACAATAGCTGAATACTATTCACGAGCAATATATATCGCATGGAGTTTTGGCTGGTAACCTGCTTTTAAATGCCAGAATCTTTTTGTGCTAAGCACATTTTTGTGCTTAAAATTGGCCCCTGCAGGTCATAGTCCACATCAGTGAGAATGCAATGTGATTTTAATTTGATGTCATTGTCACATACATGGAAGACTTGTGTAGAAACTTGCCGGAGTTGTAAATTGCAAAATGTTTAATTCTGCTTCTGTTTCAAATCAAAAACAAATATGTTTAAGGTAGACCAGCATTTTTTTTAAATTGCAAAATGAAAATATTTAATTTTGCTTCTTTCTGTTGTACCTTTTGAACTTTGTGCTGGCACTCCAGGCCGGCCTGACGGTTCTGGCCTTCCTGAGGTACAGGCAGGGCGCCCAGGCAGCCTTCTCACAGAGCTACGAACCAGAAGGCGGTGCACCCCAACCAAGCGGGCAGGTTACCGGTGGCGACTCCTACCAGCAACCCCCCTTCTCGGAGAAAACGGAGGTACCGGACTCGCAGTTCCAGTCGCCAACCTACTAGGTGAGTCGCTCGACGCAGAAGGGAATGGCTGCAGAGGAACCAGATTTATTTTTCTTCAGATGAAAGGAAATTATGAAAATGAAAGTTTTGGTATTGAATTTGGGATGGATTTGTAATTGATGAGGGACCAGCTTTTGTACTGCATACACTTCTTGATGAATTGATTGTTGTGTTATGCTTTCTTAACCATCAATACCTGTGTATCGTACAAGTGTGATTTTAGCAATTTTGATAGCACTTTTCATTTACAGCATTTTAATAAAATGGAGAAATTATAATGATATATGCCTTTTTTTTGTTGAAATTCATAGTCTCGGCTGTAAAGTCGATGAATATCACTGTAGCTCTGTATTTCATAGACCCTTAGCACTATAGTTACACATGGTTTGCATTAATGCATATCATACGTAATGCATTGCACATTAAAGTACACGTATGGAAGAATGAAATGAGGCGATAAAACTCATATTACATACTGTATAAGTACAATGAATGGGGTCATATGATACATATTGCACAGGAACGTGTACATATATATCTCGGACTGCAGTATAATGCCTAGGCTATAAATGCAGTTTTGATACGCTTTGATACATTTTGAATGATACAATGAAAGTGGAGTTGAGATGTCATAAGTTTTATTGTATAAATTCAAGCATCTTCAGAGGATATGCCTATAAAAAGAGACTAAATTGTTGTTTGCATACATATATATTATCTTGAATGCGTACAGAATGGGATCAGTCCTTTTATGTGTGTTGAGCCAGATCTGAGAATCGATGAGTGGTATTGTGTGAAACGTTTTCAGTATAGGACCAAAAAAACCATTTGAAATGTGTCCCTTCTTGTTTTAGGATTACTATGCTCAACACTTCCAACAATATATGATTTAAGTGAAAGAACAAAATTAATGAAACACCAGATGGTACGAAAATGTATCTCTTAACCACTAACTCCCTAGCGTCTTTTAGTAGGAACTGGACCAAGTCCATCAAAATCCACCAATCACTGTGCTTCCAATGCAAAACTGTACATAACATAATGGAATCCACCACTGACGCACTGGTTGACATTCATGGACTTGCTACACTTGGCTTTTATCACAATAGCAGTGCAAGAAGCTAGGCAAAATCAACTGGATACCCCAAGCTCTGCTTCAGGCCATTAGGCCCAAGTCCATTATATTCCATCAATATTAAGTCTCCTGGACCAAGTCTCCAAACTCCACCATAATTGGGGATGGATTTTGATGGAAATGGGGTGGTTGGGGTTAAGAGGAACCAGGAAAGGAATGCAACTGTGATAAGTGTTGGATTCATGTGCTGGAAACCAAATGCATAGTACTGCTATAAAAATGTTTTTGAAAAGTTTTTTAAATATCGATCAAGATATTTTCTAATATCGGCGCAACATTCTTATTTTGCTGTTACATTCATTGTACATGTGGTTGTTTTGTAAATGTGCTGTGATAACAAGTTTGCAGGCATACAGTTGTGTATATGATTTGGAATATATGCCACAGAATCTAGAAAGCTAGTTTTCAGTAAATTTCCTTACCACGTAAAAATTTTCTTAGAAAAGATCGGAACCATCTAAAATGTTACGGAGTGGAGCGGTACAGCCGACTTTCGTTTATGTTAATACAAACTCTGTAACTTAACCCTAACTCCCCAGCCTAATTTACTAGGAACCACATCTATTCTGGCAAATTCCAACACCCACATGGGAAATTGTACACACACGCTGTTGGACTTAGTTTCTGGAGGTATATATATGCCAACCCCAGTGTAAAAGACCAATAGGCGTACTGTACCTATTCCAACAGATTTAAACAAAACCTGCTGTTGAACTTTGATGGGTTGAGTTCGGTTAGGATTGATACAAATTCTGGGTATGCTGACGAAATCCTTGGTGACTTGGTCCTGAAGGCACATTTATATGCACAATGAATGGGACTAGCGCGCCTCTTAAAGGGAAGATACAACATTTGCAAAGGAACGCAAAAAAAAAAATTCCATCTTATAACATTTGCAAACATCAAAAAACGAAATGATCAAATTATCACGAAATATCTTACTGGATTGTTTGGGAATGACAGTCTAAAGCATCCCGTAAAGTTGTGGCTCCTGGTGTGCTGACATTTTCAAGAAAAACTGTATTTTTCCAACGCCAGTCGGCCAACCAGCATTGGAGAAAACTGGCTTTTTCTTTTCAAAACGTGCTCCTAAATTTTCATATTTAGGTTGTCTGCATTTTCTTTGCAATTGATTACACACCTGTGAAGACAACAAGCCTGCTAGACTGAGGCCGTGTCCGAAACGGGCTTCCAGAGCTACGGCTACGTCTATTGTCAGTGCGTCCCCGCGTATTTTCAATGGGCGCAGACCTAGACCTAGCTCTAGACAGTTGATTCGGATGCAGCCTGATTCTCTGATTATATAAATTATATAAATTGTTCTGTTTCATCTTAAGTGGGGTCAGGGAACCAGACTAGAAAATGTGATAGGTTTTCTTAGTTTTTCCAGCATCTATATTTGTACGAACCCAAAACGTGAAACAAGTCAGTGTAACAATATTTGCTATAATATACTAATCCTCCAAATCCATTTACCGGTATTACTGAAAATTGCAGCAAAAGCAAATGTTGTACATTCCCTTTTAAGTTAATACAAAATTGGGGTACAGCAAACATTAATTTGGCTAGGTCGGGCTGTGTTTGTAGTAACGGGAATCGATTGTAATTGGTTTTCAGAGAGTTTGCTCAGCATGTTACTTGTCTGAGCAAAATTATTGGGAATATCGATTTGTGTTTTAGGCAGTTCCCTACTTTTACCTCTGTGTAGCACGATTGCAGTAACAACAATAAGAGACACTTTTGGATCATGAGGATAATTAACAAATTGTTATCTTTAATGGTTTGGGTAAGTAGTTAATTAATTGATTAATGAATACAGCTCATGAGTATAACTCTGTTTTTTTTCCGTTTGGAATATTCTTTAAGAGGTGGATTTATTAAGGATTATATTTTATTGTAGTTTAGGTGATAGTTAGGAAGAAACAATGTTATGGACTACATTATGTTTAGAAAAAAAATGGACTGTATTTGAAGCAATATACACAGTTTAATTTAATCTCGATGAGAACATCTGACTAAAAATATTTCATGTTCAAGAAAATGAATTTGTAAATTTATGAGATCATATGCAACAATTTGTGGATGCGAAGTTTCACAAGGTTTAAGGCATCTTGTGACAATGTGCATGAGTGTTTTATAGTGATCACCATGATATCTGAACACTTAGTGTAGAAGAAGCAGTGCTTGGTTCACTTAAGTCAGGTTTTCAAATGTACATTATTATCATTTCATCATTGAGGCTTTTTGAGCCAAATATAGTAATGTTTACCTGCTTTCCAGCAGATAAGATGCGGCTGCTCACGTAAAGCCCAGGGGAGAGATTTCAAGATTTGTCAGCATTTGTCTTGATTTCAACATTTTTTAAAGAATCCCTTTTGAAAGCTGGAATTCCTGTGGTTTTACCTGCAAAGGTTTATGTGGAACAAAAAGAAATGGGTACTTTCTAGGATGCCTTTAGGCCAAAACATATTCCATATACCATATGTTGTTCTTGGGCCCTCGGCAACTCTCAAACCCCGTGTCGATTATTTCTTGGATTTTTCCATTTTTGCCCCTGTCTCACTCCTGAAACCTTCAAAATATTTTCTTGGTAAATTTGCAGACTTTCCTTTGCTTGTTGCAGTAGCAGTTTAGTTCTGTACATACATGTACTTTGCGATTTTTGATTGAAGAAAGTTAATTGTTTTCAAGATTATGATTGTATTCTTTTAATACCTGGGTTTTGTCCATGTTTTTGTCCCCAGGAATAGAAATGTGTTGTACAGTGATCAGCTAACGCATGATTTTTCACTGATGGTTATGTAGACATGAGTACCGAGTAGTACGTTTTTATATTAATATGGATCAGGTTTATATGCTTAGAAAAAAATGTTAATGTTGTTGGAGTACTGTTTTAATGCTTTTACAAATAAGCCCAGCTAAATTGTGCAGTGTCTGAAGGCCAAAGACGATAATAAAGCTGAAATATTCTTCTTTCTGTAAATTGTTTATATGATTATAAATTATTCAAACCCTTCTGCATAAGCTAAAAAAACATGTTGGAGTTCTGATGATAGATGTTTTTTGTCGGCCAAAGTGTAAAATAAGGAAGTTGCTTATAATACAGAACTGATTCTTCAAATCAGCTGTGGTCAAACATGAAGTGGCTTCTGATGGGTGTTTGGTTAGCTCTTCTGAGTGGTTGCAGTTTCAGTAGTTACGTTTGCTCTGTGGGCATGTAATTGTATATTCCCAGTACAATGTTGCAACATGATATATATGCATAACGAAAGAATATCAATTGCTTACATGAATAAAGGATCAGTGCACAATTGCATATATAATATATTAATTCATGTCTTTTATTCATTAATCATAAATCAACAACAACCAAAAGACATGGAGGAAACCTAGAACATCATGAACATGAAAGATGAATCAAAAGAAACAGTCTAAATGTCAATGAAGCAAGGAACTAGAAATTAATGTAGAAGTAAGAGACAAATTCACAAATTAATTAATTAACAATTTAGCATATATTAGATCATGAAATATTTACAATGGTTTTATTAACAATCCTACATGTATAATATTCACTTCAAATTGGGTGAATAATGATAGTAATGTCAAATATGTGGTACTTTCTCAAAGTTTTGCGTTGCATTGACTCCTAAGTTTAACTGAGGCAATGATATTTGTAATTTTTGCACTCTTTTTGCCAGCATAAGGTTCTTGTTAATATTTAAAAATGGTAACAGCTCAATACGATGATTGCCATGCAATTACCCAATTGTCTGAGAATGTTAAGAGATAACATTAACGCATTAATTTACATGATACAAATCATATTTTAAGGGAGATAATATTCCAGACATTTAGATTTGGAAAGATATCAGCTAATGTCGAATAATTTGTTTTGATTTATGCGGTTTGATTGTTTGTACATTTTTGGATTATATCAGATTTCTTAAGATTTCCTTCCTCGAATGGTGCAAATAAATTATCAGTTAAAAACTGTTCTGGTCAATAATCTTGAGGTTTTATCACACAGTGTTTGTTTTGTCATGGTTTTGTTTTGTTTTTGGCAGCTGTATGTTTCTTTGGTCTCCTACCTTAAATGAGTTTTAATTTCACATATTGTTCCATTTTGTTGTGACAACCAAAATACCAGGTGTGTGAAAACAAATAATGGGTATCTGAAATGGAAGAGCTCTAAAATAGCTCCCAGCCTCCCGGCTACTTGGCATCCACACTTCTTTTGCTACTTAAGTGTTCACTTTCTTAGAGTTTAGGCACTCTCCTGAAGACGGTCAGAGCAAACTGACGAGAACGTCGAGTTTATACATCCGGTTCTTTTCAGAACCATTCTCGACTTAGTTGATTAAATATTCGCACATGGTGTTTCCACAACCCTTTCATTCACTCTGAAACTGAAGATGTCAAGTGTGGCTATATTGTATTGGATGGTTTATCAGCTGTGCAAGTCCTAAGACATTATGATGTTACGCTCTGTTGACGCCAGCCAATCCTCCCCACCAATAAAAAAAATTGGTCGTCGAGGTCCACTTCTCTTAAAAAGCAGAAAAACTCTTCTTTTAGTCAACCCCCCCCAGCTCTTCCTTGTTTTTTTTTTTCATAGAAATACCTTCAAAATAACTGCTTTAACACACCAATTTTTATTCTTGTAAGAATATCCTGCGCACAAAATTCAGACAAAGCCAACTTTGTTATGGGTGTAGATTTGAATAGCGCCCCCATTTAAAGTATGGTACGTCCACCCCCCCCCCCCCCAATACCTATTGATTTTTATGGATGCCAAGTGTCCGGAGAAAAAAAAACCAGTGCCTACATTTTAGCATTTAATTGCGGATAATTTATTTGCTGACCCCTGGACTGGAGTTCTTGAAAGAGTTGAAACAATGCACTGACGTCCACACAGTTCACCGTTTTAATGATTAATTGATGTCGTGATTATTGGCGTGCGTTAAAAACTGATCGACTTTCACTCGAAATAAGTTAACTTTCCGGAAATTCTAGCAAATTAGCAAAATACAAATGTACCCTCTTATTGTTACGCATGTGGCCAACAGAGGGCGCTATACTAACTACTGTCAAATGGATGGATTACCAGACTAAAAAGGGAGAAATTATCGCTCGCGTTTACACTAACACAAGCCTAGCTTTTAGTGGTGAGCCTGGGTACCATTTCAAAGTTCAATGACCGCCACATGTTGACAAGAAAAACATCAGTCGCGAAAACCCACAAGGCGAGGGATGAATACAGTGGTGTAAAGCACGTTTGACCTGCTCCCCCAGCTTAAGTATGACTCACAGCCAAAGGCTTAGCGAGCCGAGCATGGTGTGCCTATCGTCAAGATAGCATGTAGGACTAGCAAGGCAGCATTTACAATTCGGTAAGTCGTGTTTTTAGGGCCTTCTGACTCTGACTGAGTCTGACTGTCATGAAACTTACATGAAATTGTACTGTGGAAAAAATGTTGCAACCCGACGCCGCTTCAGCGCTTGTGTACAAAGTCTATGGAGAGAGTCAAGAACATTTTCTAAGGCCAAAGGGAAAGAATTCCGTACTGCACTGGGCCACCACTTTTGCTTTTTTCAAGCGCCAAAAGGTTGCATCCGTCTCACCCTCTCCTTTCCTTTATTCCAATTGATTAATCAGTCACTTATTTAAAATTTTCATTGAGATTTGAACCTCGGCCTGGGACACTGGCTTGAAAGACAAGACTTTTACCACTGTTTACCTCAAGACCACGCGCACATTCGCATTGCAATGATCAATCTTAGGACGTATTTGAAGAATCCATTGAAATAAACTAAATATTCATGAGAAATTAAATATTCATAATGACGTATTGCTCTACCATTGGCCGGCTAATGTGTTGTCATGGTTGTCAATGTCATGCGTATAGTATAGCCCCACTAGTGTGGCCGTCGGTATGCTGCGCTGAACCTTTGGCCACACACCGTGGTACCGCGCGCTACTGAGGACGAAGTTTTTCATAAAATTCAGGGCAGTTTCTTACATTTTCAGTTTCTTACTTTCTTATGGTTGTATTCTATGATGTCTCCTATCACTTCTGGGATGCTTAGCATGTGCTTAGATCTAATGATGTTCCATTTTCCGAGATATTCTTCAATCTTTCTGGAGCCCATAATGCACTCGTGAAACGTCTGGTGGTGGCAGCCATTTTGAATGTGACAAGAGATGACCTCAAGCTGTGACGTCGCGTTTATGCAAATTGCTTGTCGAGCGCGCGAGGGCGCGAGTTGCAAATGCGACGGCTGTTTCCTGTGCCGTAGATCCTGAATAGAGATCGGTGCACGTGGCCCCCTGACGATAAATGCATGGTACAGGAAACAGCCGTCGCATTTGCAACTCGCGCCCTCGCGCGTTCGACAAGCAATTTGCATACACGCGACGTCACAGCTTGAGGTCATCTCTTGTCCCATTCAAAATGGCTGCCACCACCAGACGTTTCACGAGTGCATATGGACTCCAGAAAGATTGAAGAATATCTCGGAAAATGGAACATCATTAGACCTAAGCACATGCTAAGCATCCCAGAAGTGATAGGAGACATCATAGAATACAACCATAAGAAAGTAAGAAACTGAAAATGTAAGAAACTGCCCTGAATTTTATGAAAAACTTCGTCCTCAGTAGCGCGCGGTACCACGGTGTGTGGCCAAAGGTTCAGCGCAGCATACCGACGGCCACACTAGTGGGGCTAGCGTATAGTACTGCTGTATTCCAGACACTTCAATCAATTTGACCACTGTCTGTCTCCAACATAATTCTGCACGACGTGTGCGTCCAAAATGTGCTCTAAAAAACACATTTTTGCTAAAGATATGTCACATTTGCGAGTCCTCCTGGATTCATGGTAAAAGCATAGGGTGAGGTGAAAATTAATGTGTTTGGTGGCAGGTAAGTGGAGGCCCAGTATGGAACTCAACCCTTTCTAAGTATTTCCTAACAAAATTGGAAATGTTTCTCAGTCCCAGATTCATGACTTATTATCATTTTTGCAATGACCGACCTTCGTTGAGATGATTATGAAAATGAAGAAAAAAGTGGTGTCAGGTTGCAACATTTTTTTTCCTGCGTATTTTGAATGATCCAAAGTTATTGGGGTGGGGATTAGTCCGGGAGACCATCACAAGTTAAATTTGAACGTATTCAAACTTTACGCTAACGTGAAGACGTTATAGCCATTCCTTCCTCCATGCTGTAGCCTTCAGGAAGTCATGTGTACATGTACTTCGTGCGCGAACCAGTACAGTGCAGTACGCACACGCTGTGTGTCCCGCCGGCCCACAGGCTCTCAAAAGTGGAAAAAAGCGCCCTCTTTGTTCGCGCACAGAGCCCATAAAGTTGTCAAGGTACATGTACAGTTCTTATTTTTTCCCCTTTCCCCCAAGTTGTACCATGCTCCATGGAGCCATGTTAGGATAAGTCTTAATAAGACTTTGTTTTCTTCCTTCAGTTTTTCTCAACATCTTGACAAGTTCAGCATCAAATTGATCGCCCGTTGACTGTAGGCCCCCTCTAGGATAAGATGGGGGCGTGTATAGGGGTGGACCAGGAGCAGAAGAAGGCAAGGATGCACAGTGAGGCCATAGACAAACAACTGATACAAATGTCCAAGGAAGAGGAACACATTGTCAAGATCTTGTTGTTGGGTAAGTTGAGGATGCTATGTGGAGTTCAGTAGGCTTAAAAAAAAGTTTAATCAGTGCAGAACAAGTGAACCTGTTTAAGGAAACCTGACAAATAAAACAGCTTGTCAGGTTCCAAATTTTGTCAAAGTAATGGTTAAACCGGAAAAGGGAACTTAGACTCATCACTGTTAAGTTTTTGTGTGTTTTCAAGATCCCATTTTCAAATTGTCTAACATGTTCTTCTCAATCTTCTGTGAGCGTGTGCAGCTGGGATCTTTAAGTTTAGCTAACCCTCCTTCTCTGGCTGGCAATTTCAACAAGGCCAGCCCAGCAGTCAAACTAAATCAAGTGACTGTTTTTAACAGTTGAGTGCTCCCTGCCTTCATAACCTGATATGTAACGGTGCTTTGACTGTAGGAGATTGATAGCCAGCTGTGCCTACCAGTACCAGTCACCTGCTTTTGTCTGTTGATCAGGTGTTGATCAGAATTTGACTGTCACAGTGCCTACCAGAAATATGATCTGACTGTTGGTGACTATCCTTTGTAAAAGGCATGGCAGGGGAACAGGATTGAAATTTGACTGTCTGTGACTGATCAAACATAATCGTACCTAATGTTATCCATCACTTATCTATGAACTATTAAATTGTTTACATTCAAATGCTGTGCTGAGAACAACTGGGCTGAAGAGTAGTTGCCCAAAACTGCTTGTATTGAAGCACCACTCTTCACAAGTTGTAACTTGTACTCAGGCCTTTTGTGATTTTGATTATTTTTGTCAAAGGTGCCGGTGAGAGTGGGAAGAGTACGTTGGTGAAGCAGATGAAGATCATTCATAGCGACGGCTTCACCAATCATGAACTCATGAGCTTCAAGGTAAGACCAACCATCATCACCGTTTCACCCTTAAGCACGTGTACTAAAGTGTACTCTATTCATTCCCTAAAGCAAAAAAAACCCCACAGTTTTGCTTCCGATTACATGCCTTTCAAAAAAAGGGTCGGTAGGTCGGAAATATTAAATCAATACAAGCATTTTTGACGCAAAAGGGTTGTTTAGAGGTGTTTTGTGAAAACAGAACAGACAACAGGATTTTATAAATTTATTTATTCATTTATTATTATATATATTTTTTTGACTTGCTGATAAAATTTTTAGGGTCGCAGCCTAAAAATAGGGTCAGTCGGGTAACCGGATGCAGAATTTTTTTTTTCTTGGCCTAATGTCCAATTAAAATCATACAGTAAGGAGTGGTTTAGGGAGGAACAGTGGGTGACATGCATGGCTGTTTGGGGCATTTCAGTTACCAATGGTTCAACTCTTTGCATGGCAAGCCGATATATTATTGGCTCAAAATTGTGCCTGCTAGAGATGACTAAGCTATTAGCAACTTGGACATCATAGCACATCGTTCTGTTTGTTCCGTCTTATGAAACCAAGTAATTTTGTACATTGAGAGTTAAAGTAAAGGAGCCATGCAGTGAATTCCACACCGAAACATTTTTTTTAGTATAAATACCTACACCCCCTACCTCTGAAATGCATTTAAAAATTAGACAGTAATCCCCTATTTGGTTTAAAGGGAAGATTTATACAACATTTGCAAACATCAAAAAACAAAATGATCCAATTATCACTAAATACCTTACTGGATCGTTAGGGAATGACAGTCTAAAGCATCCTGTAAAATTGTGGCTCCTGGTGTGCTGACATTTTCAAGAAAAATTGTATTTTTTCCAACGCTGGTCGGTCAACCAGCGCTGGAGAAAACTTGCTATTTTCAAAAACTACTCCATATTTCTTAGATTTAGTTATTCCACATTTTCTTTGCAATTGATTACTCATCTGTGAACGGGTACAAGCCAGCTAAATTGATACTCTGACCGTACAAATCCCCAAAGTCTATAAATTGCTCCATTTCATCTAAGTGGGGTCAGGGAACCAGACTACAAGAATATTATTGGTTTTCTCGGTTTTTCCAGCATCTACAAGCCAAAAACGTAAAACAAGTCAGTTTAACAATATTTGCTAAAACATAAAAATCCTCCAAATGCACTTTTTTTCTGAAAATTGCAGCAAAAGCCAATGTTGCGCATTCCCTTTAATTTAAATGCTGACTTCACTGTCAGGGTAAGTGGTACACACATGTAACATAGGTTTCATGGAAAATTTGATTGCATGTGCCCTTTATTGAGCTGCTCTAATCTGGCTGTTTTTATTGTTTTAATGTTTGGGGTCAATGCAGAAATTGCAGGAAGTTTTACAAAGTAAACTTTCAAGTTTGAAACTTTTTGAATACATGCATGTTAATGTTTTACAATCTGTACAATGGAAATAGGGTGGAGCATTCCCCCTTGGCATTTACTTCTTATTGATTTGGTCTTATTTATTGATTTTTTTTCCCCGTTAACCTCAGACAAATTCCAGGTTTTGAAACTGGGTAACACAAATCAATATTCATTTACTCCAAGCACATTCCTTAACTGTTATGCAAACAAGGTTTTCATTGTTCAAGTTGGCATCGCCAACAAACAACTTAACGTTTCGATAGTGAATTTTTGGCTTTGTGAATTTAAACCTGTTCATGTTATTTGATTGTGCCAATTTGATCCTTAAAAAAGTGAACATGAACATTTCACTGATACATTTTAGACATACCGGTACATGTATGTTTGTCACATCAATTAGAAATGTTTCTCTGTCTTTGTAACTCCAGTGTTCACATTGATTGACTAATAACTGGTTAAGACAAATGAAAAAGAAATTTCCCAACTTTTCCATATGAAGCAAATGTGCTTGTGATACCTATTTTTAAACAAGCAACCTAAACATTATTTCAAAGGGTACATGTATTGTACATGGCACCTCATGGAAGTCCCACATTAATGTTGTGTGAAAGTGTACATACTGTGCATTTTCAACCTCTTAATGTGAATTATTCAAAGAATGAGTTAATGCCTGGACAAAGATTTATTGTCCACAAACCTTTCTGAGACACCTTATCCAATCAAGTGCCCCACTGGCATGTAAACAAGCCTTTCATTGGGTATCCATGTTGCAGGCTTAAAGCTGTGGACTGTCCCTGATCCTTTTACACCCATGGTCCTGAGATAATTGCCATTTGATACATTTCAGAGCTTAGACTAAGCTGTGGGGTTTAAATTGATCAGTCTGGCCAAGGTGTTTTGGAGTGTGATTACAGTTACATAGGAGTAGAGAAAGACTGACTGCTGAGGCAAAAAAAAAGAATTAGTTCTGCTTCCGATTTTTTTTTTTTTTTTTTTGGGGGGGGGCATTTTTGTGTGGGTATGATCATATGAAGGTGTCTGTGTGTAGTCAAGGGTAAAAGGTAGTAATTGATGATTTTGTGGTGATTTTTCCCCCAAAAAAAATTAGGGTAGGGGCTGTCAAAATAGGGTAGGTAGTGTAACCGGAAGCAGAACTATTTTTTTTTTTTGGCCTAATGATGCTTTAGATGAATACGAGCATGCGGTCACTGCACACTCATCCCGAGGCCCCCTTCAATGGAGAAACCATTGTGCATGCTATTGTACAAAGCAACTGCCCCTTTACTGATAATTTGAACAAAAGCTAGCACAATGCTTTCGCCATTAAAAGGGCACTTCGTTATAGAAGTGATATGCCCAGATTGGTCTACATGTATGTTAACAGAATATTTAATTAGGACCTGCTGAATCCAGCAATATCCAAAAGTTTCTGTGTGGAGCCTGCTGATGAGAACAGGGATTCCACAGCCGTGACAGCCAGAACACAACGGGTTGTTCTAAAAAAAACCTCGACCACCGACCCCCTCGAATTATGTTCAAGCCTCAGTCCCCCCGACTAGATCAATTAGCGCGTGCTTCATTTTCAAGATTGAAAACTGCTCAATTAAGAAGATTTTGAATAGGGGCAAGTATGAACCAATATTCCATGGCTTGATCTGGTCGGGGGGGGGGGGGGGACTGTGTTTTGAGGGCTTGAGGTACCGTAAGTCAAGGGGGTCGTGGGTCGGGGGGGGGGGGGGTCAAGGGTTTTAAAACTACGGTACCCAAACACAATATCTTATGTTCGCTGTTCGGATCAATTTTTGCTGAGCAAGGATGTAAGGGATAATAATCAAAACCAATAATTTCTGTCTGGCCTTGGAAGGTGTGTTTAGTGGTAATCGGTTGCTCATTGACTGTGAAGCTTTAGTATGCTTGGTTGATTAGCACACAGTAAGCAGCCTTTTTCATAGAAATAAGCTCAACATTTGAAAAAGAAACGTTCCGGCCCATTGACAATAAAACAAGTCTGTGGCGACATAGGCCTATAGTGTGGTTCATTAGGCGAAGTAAAAAAAAAAACAAGTTTCTCGTCCCCGCCCGCTTCCTTTTTGGAGGCCGCCTGGATTTATTTATTATTTTTTATTTTTGAAAAATGTAGTAGAAACACACCGAAAAAGTCTACAAATTCATCGGAAAATAAATACCAAAACCAATACAACTCTAAATGACACTGTAAATATGTTCAGTTCTCTTGTCCAACTTGTCTTTCATCTTTAAAAGTGTCTTTGAACAGTGGAACACCAATGGTTGCAGGAAATTTTGAAAAGGCGGTCATCTTGAAAAAAATATAAAATAAAAAATAAAAAGCCCCGCTTCCTCCCTTTTTTCAAAAACCCCTGACGAGAAACTATTTTTTTTTTTTACTCGGCCTTATATAAACTAAGTACATGCACCTTACTATTCATAAGAATTAAGATAGAATTTGTGGCAGGGTGTTGTTAATTCAAAGTTTGATTTTAAATGCACATTGTTGTCCTGAGTAATTTTGAGAAAAAAATTGCTGAGGTGGGACTCAAACCCACGACCTCCTGCTTACTAGTGCAGACGTCTTACCACTCGATCACCGAGCTTGCTGGGATCAACTGGCTGATTCGAGGCTGACATCTGCACTAGTAAGCAGGAGGTCGTGGGTTCGAGTCCCACCTGAATGTTTTTTTTCTTTTCTCACAATCACTCTGGACAACACTGAGTGTACGGTGTTTATAAAATGTGTTGGTGAAGGGGAAAAACAATATTGAATTTACATATTATATGTACCTTGAAAAATTTTTGTGCAGGAATTTTGATAACATAGTATTGAAGTTTGTCCATTAAGTCAGACAAAGTAAAGGTATATTAATATAGTTTTATTATCGGGTCCATTGTATTCATTCTAAATGTGACCTCCTTAACTGAAAGTTTGTGAAAATTTCTGTAGTCTGAACCATACTCCTTGTTTTGCTTAAACTCTGTACAAAATCTCAGGTTCACTTCTGGTTTCAAGTCACTTGATACAGGCAATGTTTACTGTTGCGTTTTCTGTCCCCATCTAATGTCATAATCTTTAATCTAATTTTTGTAAGTTTCTACTGCCCGGGGTATGTGTAAACATAACGTTCCTCTCATATGTTCAACAAATTGCTTACATTGTAAATCAATAAAACATTCATTGTTCAGATATTCAGTTATCCCCAAAAACTTGTCAAGTAGGGAATCAAATCTAGTGATATCATGAAAAGCACTTAATGGGCAAGCACCTGCGTACATTTTGGACATGCTCAATGTATACAAACCATCTCGCAACCTTCGATCTGGAAATAAATATCTTCTTCAAGAAGTCAAATCTCATCGTACCTGGGGGGACAGATCTTTCTCTGTTACAGCACCACATCTCTGGAATCAACTACCTCTTCATATCAAAACCTCGACTTCTATTCACTCATTCAAAACATCTCTCAAAAGTCAAAACACACCTCATGTCGAAAGATCCGTTTTTTTGTAATTAAACTGATTTTGTTTAGTTTCGTTTTCAAATTTTGTTTTTTTCCCTTCACTGTTTCGTTTTCATTGTAATAGCGCCCTGAGCACCTTGGTGGATATGTGCACTTTATAAAACTTCGTTATTATTTTTATTAATGTGTGCACTTCCCTTCTGTTTTGATTGATGAATTCATTTATCACCCGAAAAATTCTTACTAAATACCAAATTTTTCACGAATAATGATTGAGTGCTGTACGTGCTGCATTCAATTGGTGTTGTGTTCCACTATTCCTTTCATCACTCGTTGAACTCCAACTGGGAAACACAAAAGACTGGGCAGAAAAATAACATGTACAGGTTATGTTTGCCATCTCTTGCTAAGAACCAAATAATGGTTATTGTTGGGTGCCTACTGACAGCCACTATGTACATAAAGTTACATGAAGTGCTGCACAGGTGCTTCAATGCACCTGTTTGCATACCTGTGAAATCTGTTCAGGGGCTCAAGAAAAAATCAAATACAAACATATATGCAATAACCTACACGCACCTGTTAAAATTGCGCTAATTTGTATACAAATTTTTGTCCTTACAGATTTTCAATATATATGTTTTAACAGAATAAGCTCCTTTTTAATTCTGGACGTTTTCAACCATCTAAAAATATACTTTTGTTGTGAGTTGTTTGGCACCCATAACACACAAATGATATGCCCGAATTATGTCGGGCCGCAATAATTCGAACTTTGTACACAGGACATTCGGTAACTGAACGTGGGCAGATTTTTGTTTGTTTGATGTCTCATTCAGAAAAGAAGTGAATAAATTTTGTAACGCTAGAAATATACCATTTTAAAAAGAAAATCTACTTTTGGCGTGAAACTCAAAAGTTGCACGGGAAGAGCAACTTTTAGTCTTTACTATTCAACTGTATGACTATGGTGTTTGACTTAATTAGAAGAAATAAAAAATATGAACAATGTATGATGATAAAGCCATTTTGTTTATTTTGTGGTATTCGCTCACTGTTAATAAACCTGCAAATAATCCAAAACAAAAAATAGTGAACTTTTGATTACAATTATAATTTAATTTGCTATTTATAAAGTTTGTGTGATTTCTTTGACTTTTGGGGGATCACTGGGTCTCCTTCAGGTGAAAGGGGAAAAAAGTAAATTGTTAAATTTAATGAGTTGTAAACCTACTTAACAAAGAAATAAACCTGAAAGAAAGGGTGTATTTTTAGTCAATGTTATGTGTAAGTTCTAATGAAAATTTGAAAATCTTGAAGTATTGTTTTTAAGTTGAAAGGAAGTTAAAAAAAGGTCCATTTCTTTTTATATTTCCCCCTTTATAGCCAGCGGTTCTTGATAATCTTCTGAGTTCCATGAAGTACGTTCTTAATGGCATGGGACTTCTCCGAATTCCCCTTGCCAACCCAAGAAACAAGGTAAAGAGTACATGTATATGGCTTATTATTGATAAACCCCGACTCAACTTACATCTGAAAGTTTAAAGCTATAGTCCATCATTTGTAATTAGTGCATTTTGTTCGTTTGAAGCAACAAAAGTGTTCAAAATCTAATGAAGGATACTGAACAACTTACTTGATGAAGTTTCAGCTCAGCTTCAGCTTCATATTCCGAGAAAAACAGCCTTCTAGGATCTCAATTTCAAATCAAAAGTTGCTAAATCATGTTTCGAATTGTTTTGAATTGCAGCTTTACGCGATGTTGCGCACTGATCCAACGAATTATAGCAATCGTGCACGCCTGTGCGTCGTTCCAATGCTTGTGCGCGCTGCGCCGAATAACAAAACGAACAACTAATTTAAATTTTCCTACGGTGCTTCTTAAGAAGCACCGTGGGAAATGCCTTCTTTCGTTGATTTCTTCAAAATGAGAGCTTGCCAGAAAGGATAATTTCACAGGGAGTTTATTCCCCTTACTATCTTTCAACCAGTATGTTTTTCAACAATAATTACGCCGGTTACTTTTTTGGATAGCTGCAAATGATGGACTCTGGCTTTAAATGTGAGACGTTCTGGAAAAATGAGACAAAACTGGGCAGAGGTCCAAATGAGGTTTGTAGATATTTGGAAAGAGAATAGAATTCTCTTTACAATTTTCAGAGATGCCAACCATTTACTCTTTTGGAATAATTATTAGGATTTTGAGGCATGTTACTACTCTTGAAATTTCCAGCTGTTCTAAAAAGTGCTGTGGTTACTCTTAAACTTGACTGTTGTCCTATGTATTTACATTAGCATTACTCTTTGCAGGAAGAATCATTACTATTTTGTAGTCTGTAAAGTTGGCTTCTCTGAATATTGTTTGTTGCACTCCAACCGGACATTCCGTTGACAAGTTGTGGCTGTTCGCATTTATCGACATGTCAAAAAAGTAAAATACTAAAGAAAAAGGCATTTAAAGTTACAAGTATTGTAGTCATTTAAAATGAAAGATGCCAATTGGGTTTTCTTAAAAACACATTTATTTAATGGGTTTTGTACTATTTCTTTAAAATATGTGTGGTAGACATAATATCAAAGATTACTACCGTAATTTTCGGAATATAAACCGCGGCTTAAACGTTGAATTTGCCCATGCAAATGTGTACTGCGACTTATACACCGGGCGGCTTATAAGCCGAGCCTTGAAGAATAAAAATGACATTTACATATGTGTATTTAATGTACTGGTATAAGAAAACATCTGTTGCTGAAATGAATTATCAATCAAGAAAGTCATTAACAAGTCGAATGCACGTCCCACAAAAAGGTACCGAGCGGTAAAAAGTACAGCAGGCCGGCCGGCCGGCCATGCGTGAGTGAAAGCTCACGGTCTCTTCGATGCTGCTTTCGACCAGCCGTACGTGGATAACTATAGTGCTGCTGCATGCGCTGTATTCCAGATCCCGGCCCCATGCAGACCACACCATTTGTGGTAATAAAGGGGTGTACTTTCTTGGGAACAATAATTACCAATATTTCCACTGTTTTAAAAAAGAAAAAAAACAACTAACACTTTTTTATGGAGTTCAAAACATTCCTTTATTCAATAACAAGCTGGTTTACCCGATCATAGATCGGGTAAGGCGTATAGTGTTGGGGATGAAAATGTGGGGAGTTAAATGTAAATGGGGGATATAGTTGGGAAGACATGCAGTTAAAGAATAGCAATTTCTGTGGTGTGATCTGAGGCAATTTCTGATCACTATAACCAATTTGAGCAAAAGATCATCTGTGAAAGTTTGGAGTTTTGAGTAATTGAATCAGCTACATGTATTCTGAGCAATAGAATCATTATTGTAGGCTACAATATTTTTATTCGGGGAAGAAAAAGTGTGGGGGGGGGAGACCAAACAATGCCCCCCCTCAAAATGTGTGTGTGTTGGGGGTGGGGAAGGGGGGGGGGGGGTTCTCCTGTCCCCCGTTGATTTACGCACATGATCATTATGTACCATGGCAACTGTCTGAAAATGTTGCCGTGGGTCTGTTAAATTGGCTTTTTGTGAGGCAGTCGCATTTGGAAAACGTAGTGAAAAGGTTACTGTAGTACACAGGTGAAGGCTGGTTGTACAGTTTGACAAAAAATTGGAATCATGGAGGAAGGTCATAATTAAGTTTCAGTATTGGACTCTTCAACAAACGTAAACTTGAACTTCTTACAATTTGTGAGACCGTCTGCGATTCAACTTTCATTCAACTTCAAGTTGGTTCAACCATCTATATATAAGAGCAAGTTTTACTCGGCCTCCGAGAAATGTTTGCTTCTGAAAGGATCCGAGACCGCGGCTTCACGTCCGTGGAAAAAATGTGGGTGTCTTCCGCCAGGTCGGACACTTTTTCGTCGATTTTTTGTGACTTCGTTGAAGATCGCGATATTTGAAGCAATGCATCGATCCTTCGTTGACCCCAAACAGGCCCCCGAAATTATAACGCGACACTGAATTATACGTGGCGGGCAGCGAACTCACAACGCTCAGCCTTGGTGGTGGTGGAAGCATGGAGCTGTAAACACATTATGGAAGCAACAGCACTCTATCACGTGACGTCACATGCTTGCGCTTCAAATAGCGAGCACCGTAGACCCAACCTCGTTTGCAGGGTGTGGAACAGGCTGCAGTACGCGTTGCCATCGACAGTTTTACATAGCCCGGAAATACTATGCAGTGTAGACTTTCGATTGGTCAGACCGCGCAAGGCATACTAATGTGTAGTCCTTCTGAGTATTCGTTGCACTCGGCGCAGGGGCGGCAAGCAAAGCACAGGAAACAATAGGGACACTTGGTGGCCACGCACCATGGGGAAAAAATATTTTGCCAAGGTCACCCCATACTACCATTTGGTGAACACTTTTGCAGAACGGCCGAGTAGAACACGTAAACGAAACCCCTACGTTGACCTCGCTGACCTCGCACAGTCTAGACTCGCAGAAAAGCCAGCACAGGGGGCGGCCAGGCAGTCAACGTGAAAGCGCTTACGACGGCAAATTCCTGCGCAAAACGCAGTCACGAAAAATCGACGAAACGGATCGCCGGTCCGTACGGGAAAATTAGGACGACCCGAAGTGTCCGACCCGGCGGAAGTCACCCTCCGCATTTTTCCACGGACTTGGAGCGATTTTGGCGCCGCGTGAGCCCGCGGTCTCGGAACCTTTCAGGAGCAAACATCGTCTCGGGGGCGAGTAAACTTCTCTCTTATAGATCAGTTGTTCAACGTCACAATATATATTTTTTTCTTGAAATGTATTCAAGAAACGATGTAAAACTCAAAACAGGGGCTAAATCACCCCTTACGAAATAAATGGATTCGTCCATAAAAATGTCAGCATTGTGTTGACTGTTTTCAAAGAAAGTTACGATCAAAACTTGAATTTTTGACGTTACAACTCGTTAGTAGTAACAACAATTTGATAACATTTGTTGTAAAAACGGACCTGTTTATTCTTAGGACAAAACCAATCAGCATCTGTTGCCACATAGCAAGATTTGTAGCGCTCCAGTCAGACGACACATGGTGGGTTACATACTCTCTCAAGTGCTGCGGGAAAATGTTGTCATTCGCCGGCGCAGGCTGCCGGGCCATGCGCTAACTTTTAAGGCAGGGGACCGTACGGGTTAGCCGGCAGCAATTCCCGGTGTTTATTTCTCACCATCAATTTCCATATTTTTATCCACTGTAAATGATTTGATATAAATTTTGTGGCCCTTAGTTTTCGTAGTGTAAATGGAACTGGTTCAGAGCATTTTTACTAGAATTTGCAGGCCTTACAAAATTGAAACCGCTGCGGTCGGTGCAGCTTATCATGCTTATATGCCAGTGCGGCTTACATGTATACGCCGACTTCAAATCTTAATTTTCAGATTTTTGCATGCTGTAGCTTATACGCCGTGCGGCTTATATTCCGAAAATTACGGTAATATCAATAAATCTGAATAAAATTTCCCCGTTCAGGTTTTTGCATTTTTCTCCACTGCCATGACTGCAGCTTGTGCCCAGTTCCGTCTCATTTTGCCAGAACACCTCACAAATGAATGTTGTCTTTAAAAGAAACATTTCTTCAAACTTCATTTTCATGTAGTTTGCTAGTCTATATTCAAATTAAACACTAAAGTACCGGTAGAATTCTTGTAATATTTAAGAAGCTAAACCTGTAAATGCTGATAGCAAGTTTCAGTTTACTTTCTTTTGGTCGTTTGTTGTCAATGCACAATTGCTTAAAATTTTAAGTAATATTTTCAGATCTCATATTATTTTCTGGGCAATAAAACTATCCAAATATGTTCAGTTAAAATTATTATGACTGATAAAATTGTGATATTTATAAAAAGAAATCAGTTTCAGACTATATTTATTTCAGAAAAACTTTTGAAGAAGTTGCTTTTCAGCTTTACCCGTGTATTGTTACTAATGCTTCTGAGTGAAAAAAATGTGCTTTTCTTCGTTCCCAGATCTATGCTCAGACCATTCTCCAGTGCTACCGCTGTTTTGACGAGCAGATCAAGATGCGCACATCTATCGCAATAGCCCTACTGGCGCTCTGGAATGACACGGGGATCAGGTCATGCGTAGCCAGAGGTCACGAATATGAACTCAATGACTCGGCGTTATAGTAAGTCTGGAGCATTGAATTTGTGGTCTGCGGGTAATCCTGCAGATTGTGGATTTGAGTCCAGCCCGGGGTTATGGTGCGTGTGCCCTTGAGCAAGGCGCTTTGTCACTCATTGCTTCGCTCCACCCAGGAGTAAATGGGTGCCTCAGACGGCAGTGTTGGTGACTATGAGAGGTTGATTACGGCACAGAGCGCCGAAATGGCTGCCAATCAGCCGCGTATGCTCCCTAGGGAGTTAAGAAGCTTTCAGGAGTGTTGCCCGTTGAAACAGGAATCATAATAATTGCAAAACGCTTTGATACCCCGTTGCGATGTAAAAGCGCTATATACATTTGTAAATGCCTGCTGTTATTATGCTATTTTTACCGGCATTTCATTTGGGTAAATTTGGGAAAATACTAGAGAGTTTACCCAAAACAAAACAGTGCCTTCCTATTGTGTCCTCCATATCTCAAATAGGCTAATAGGCCCTACTTTCCTGCTAAACAGGTCCCCTGTCTTTTTCATTTAGATCATGAGTTTTAGGTAAGGTTTTCTTTCTGCTTATTTGTGAGGGTTCTCGCAAAATGAGATAGAACTGGGTAGAGGTTGAAATTAGGGTTTTGTGGGTGGGTATTAGGAATGAGGTTAAAATCCCCATGCAATACTGTTTGTTGCGCTTCAGGTGGACATTCTGTTGGCAAGTTATGGCTGTTTAAATGTCCGATTATCAACTTGTCAAAAAAGTAGAATACTGACATGACTGAGAAAAAGGCCTTTAAAGTTTCCATTGTTTTGTAGTCATGAAACTGAAAGAGGCCAGTTGTTTTTCCTGAAATATACTTTTATCCCACGATATTTATACTATATCCTTAAAACATGTGTGGTAGACATAATCAAAGATTACAAATATCATTAACATATGAAAATCGAAGAAAATCATTCCCATTGGCTTTTTTTCCTTCTTCATTTTTCTGTACAAGGCCTGTGCCCAGTTCCGTCTCATTTTGCCAGAATGCCTCACATTTTACTAAGCCTAGCAAAGAGCATACGAACTTCAGAGGCAGACTCTCTTAAAAGTAACAATGCAACAATGAATATCTCATTTTTGGGCACCGGTGTTTGCATATATCCAAGAAGAGAAATATGTATAAAATTAGCACATACGCTTATTTCTGCGAACTGTTAAGTATAGTGCCATTAAATTGGTACTTGGTCGAATCTGGAATTCGATTTGTTTGTATTTGCTCAGCAAGTCTTGCATAGTGGAGTGTATACAACCCCACCGTGATGACAGCATGTTGCTAAAGGTTTCAGCCTGTTATGCATAACAAAAATAAATAGTCTGTCAAAGACAGACTGGAGAGGATAGGGCCAGTAAACAAACATTGAAAGGTGAAACTTTCCATGACCTTCTTGTATTTTTCTTCAGCGAATGCCACTGTGCAATTCAGTGAAAGGAATAGCCTCTGCCATTTTTAAAATTTAAAACTTATTCTTTAGGATACTAGATCTATCTTTGAGCAGTTGAGTTGAAGCAACTGCTCTTGAAGTGTTTGTTAATCTCATACTTGAACTCATATACTCCTAGGTTTCTTTACTCCAAACACGTTAAAATATTCTCAAGTTAAACGGAAAGTTACTGCATGTACTTGTAGTCCTTGTGCTATAATGATTGCGTTTTTTGTACTCTTTCTTGCTAAAAGTACTTGATCACAACTTCACCATCCTATATCAAGTATTACAGACTACTGCTTGGTGAGTAACTCCATTACTCGAGTACTCGCGAGTAGTTTTTATGCCACTCGTTTTTCTACTTGTGGTTTGTCATCTACTTGAGTACTTGTCCTGGCGCAAGTAGAAGCAGGTACTCGCGAGTGGCAATTTAGGGTTTAGGGTTCACAGCTTAAAGGGAATATACATCATTTGCTTTTGCTGTAATTTTCAGAAATGGATGGAATTGGGGGGTTGGAAATATATAGCAAATATAGTTACACTGACTTTTTTGAGGTTTTGGGTTCGAAAATGCTATAAAAACCAAGAAAAACAATCATTTTCCTGTAGTCTGGTTCCCTGACTCCATATAAGAAGAAACAGAGCAGTTTACATACATTGGGGAATTGTAAGGTCAGGGAACCAGTCTAGCTTGCTTGTACCCGTTCATAGGTGTGTAATCGATTGCCAACAAGAGCGATGGTCAACTGGGGCCAGTATTAGAAAAAAAGCCAGTTTTTTCCAACGCTGATCGGCCGATCAGCGTTGGAAATTGATACAAAAATACCACTTTTCTTGAAAATGACAGTATACCAGGTGCCATGATTTTACAGGATGCTTTACACTGTCATTCACTAGCAGTCCATCAAGGTATTTCAAAATGATTTGGTAGTTTTATTTTTTGATGTTTGCAAATGTTGTATTTTCCCTTTAATACGTTCCCTGCAAAACCAAGTAAATGACCCGAAACGTCGCACAGTAAGGATATCTCAGTGCTTAATAATGTGGTGTGACTTGCAAGCTATTTGCTTGTAAGTTGCTTCACATGCTTTATGGGAATTTGGTTAACTACTAGGGAGTACCCGACTACTCGCGAGTAATTTCTTTGCAAGTACTCAATTAGAAAAATCCACTACTCGCCCAGGCCTAGTAGAGACCAAGAACCTGAATAATCAGTGTGAATTAAAATTAAAATACATCTTTCCTTTTAGCTACTTTGAGAATATGGAGAGGATAACATCAGAGTACTACAGACCAAGCACAGTAGATGTCTTGAGAGCAAGAGTCCGAACGACAGGTGTTATTGAGACACACTTCAAGATCAAAGGCGTAATATTCAGGTAATAAGCTACTCAGCAGAGTAATGTTTGCCCCACCATCCTATTATGAGCTTAAGGTCATCGGAAAAGTTTCTAGCTTCTAGGCTATATACTGGTGATGTAGAAGACAAGCAATGTTCAATCTGCTCTGATAGTGACTGCCAAAGCTTCATGTGAAATTGTATATTGAATTATTAATCAGTGCTACGTACTGAATACGGCTTGATAGTTGTACTAAAACTTAATCTTTAAGGTTAATTTTTAAAAGAAAATATCTCTGAACACCCAACAGTCTTTCTGACATTTTTTTTTTTTTTTTGGGGGGGGGAATTATCTTTCGCATTTTTGTTTTAGTTAATGTATATGTGAGCACTGGTGGGGGAGGGGGGTGATTTTTAACATTGGCACAATATTTGATATTTTTTATTCTTCCTTGGTTTGGCACAATCACGAACAACCGTTTGTTCCTCTTGTTTAAAAATGAAAGGTCACATTATTCAGAAGAAGCTTGTCTGGAAAAGTTCTTTATTTTGTATGCTTGTAAACACCAATGAGACAGAAAGAGTAACTTAGTGAGAACTTGCATGAATGATTAATGACCTGTCAACATTTCAGAATGTATGATGTTGGAGGTCAAAGGTCAGAGAGAAGGAAATGGATCCAGTGCTTCGACGATGTGAAAGCTCTGCTCTACGTGACGGCATTGAGTGGTTATGACATGACACTCTTTGAAGATCCAGAAGTTGTGAGTATCTTTCAACAACTTAATCTTGTTCTGAGGACCTTTTTGAAGCCTTGAGCAAGAAAAATGTAGCATTACACCTGTTGATATTTCATTGGCTATTAAGTTTCCATCAATTCAGTGGTAAAATAGCTTACGTTTACTTCTAATCTGCACCCAAAATACTAACTTTAATGGAGTTGCCCGTCTGGTAGTCAAACGTCCTATTTCAGTGAAAAGAGCATGTAGAAACAACAACCAATTAGTGTCATTACATCTTACGAATAAAGTTATCTTTGCGAAACACAGTTGATGTTTTTTTCTAAATGAAAAGTGGAAAAGCGTCTTTGTTGGAACAACTTGTAGGTGTCTATAATTAATGGTCATGGCTCTGTAAACAATTCGAGCTGGTATGAGAGACTAAGCCGGTCCTGTTTCAGGCCAAATTTTGTGAATATCTAAACATTTTTTAGACGATGGCAAGTATTTCACTAGGGTTAAGAAAACCCAAAATTTGATCACTCAGTACTTAGCTTTGGTGGTTTTTATTTATGTTTTTTTTTTTAACACTTGAGGAATGACATTTTTTGATGGGGTCCACGAATTGGAACAAACTTGACTGCTACAATCTAACTTGACTGTCAATTTTATCATTGATCTTAGAATCGGCTTAGGGAAAGTCTTCACTTGTTTGAGTCCGTCTGCAACAACTGTTTCTTCAGAAACACCACCATCATCCTCTTCCTCAACAAAGTTGACTTGTTCCGACAAAAGATACTTCACACTGAGAGACAACTAAGGCTGTACTTCCCTGAATATCCAGGTTGGTTATTGCACTGCAAATTACAGTGTTGATGTCGAGTCCATCACAAGTCCATCACATGTCCATCACATGTCCATCACAAGTCCATCACAAGTCCATCACAAGTCCATCATAAGTCCATCACATGTCCATCACAAGTCCATCACATGTCCATCACAAGTCCAGTCACAGGTCCATCACATGTCCATCACAAGTCCAGTCACAAGTCCAGTCACAAGTCCAGTCACAAGTCCAGTCACAAGTCTAGTCACAAGTCCATCACAAGTCCATCACAAGTCCATCACAAGTCCATCACAAGTCCATCACAAGTCCATCACAAGTCCATCACAAGTCCATCACAAGTCCATCACAAGTCCATCACAAGTCCATCACAAGTCCATCACATGTCCATCACAAGTCCATCACAAGTCCTCACAAGTCCGTCACAACTCAATCACTAGTCCTCCAGTCCCAAGTCAAGTCACAAGCTATCCAAACGAACTTTGACAAAGGCATTCCTTTGTTATTGTCCATCACCTGTTATTGTGAGCAGACCTGTGAACAGATTTGTGAATTATTTGTGACCCGACTTGTCTCAGACTCGACGATAACACTAACAGAGTGTGTTTTCTGTTGAACCAATGGTGCAGTATAGCAACCTCTCACTTGCTCAGCATCATGACTAACTTGTGAAAGTAGTTGTTAAATTGTATGGAAGAAGATTTCGCTCTTAATCCACTCTTCAGTTCAGCAAGACGCTATACCGGGTTTATCAAAGGAAAGGTAGTCAAGAAATATTGGGTTAGTGTGTTATTAACTTATGAATTTGAACAGCTTCAGTGTGGTTGCAGCTAAAGAGTGATTTATCAGCTATTCATTGAACCTTTTATCTATCTCTGCAGTCATAGATAACTGACCACAATCTTTCTTAAAAATGAATCAAAAAATTTGATTGGTTTTAGATGTCCAAACAATGAGCTGTTACTGTCTATTGTACAATTTTTAAACACTTGTCGCCTTCATTATTTGTTTGCAGGTCCTGATTACGATGTCGAGACAGCCTGTCGCTTCATCCGCAGACGCTTCCAAGACGCTAACCACAATGTTAAGAAACACATCTATCCCCACTTCACCACGGCAACAGACACCACCAATGTGGAGGTAGTATTTCAGATCGTCATGGAAACCATCATAAGGGAAAACCTCAAAACGGCGGGTATGTTATAGCACACTGTTTAAGCCTATCACCCTATCGTCTCCCCTACGCGTGTTGAAATCAACACGTGTTCACCATAAGCTGAAGCGGGTCCCTTCGAACATGGGTAGGCAAGGCTTACTGTTCACACTTAAACTGGTGTGTAGATTTTGGATTTCTACTCAGGTAGAGCCTCTCAACCCTGGGTTTGACCAAGGTTGAATTTACCCGTGGACCAGGGTTGATTTTACCCATGAACAAGGGTTGATTTTACCCGTGGACCAGGGTTGATTTTACCCTTGGACCAGGGTTTGAATTCTACCCAGGAAGAACCTTTATCCTTGGACTGGGGTTGATTTTACCTGTGGACCAGGGTTGATTTTACCCATGGACCAGGGTTGGATTTCTACCCAGGAAGAACCTATATCCGTGGACTGGGGTTGATTTTACCTGTGGACCAGGGTTGATTTTACCCGTGGTTCAGAGTTGGATTTCTACCCAGGAAGAGCCTTTGTCCGTGGACTAGGGTTGATTTTACCCGTGGACCAGGGTTGATTTTTACCCATGGACATGATGGACCAGGGTTAATTTTACCCATGGACCAGGGTTGATTTTACTAGTGCAGTGTGCCGGACCCGTGTAGAAGCTGTGTTGGATTCTTGCTTGTGTGAAAGGAGTTCCCGAAAGGTTTTGGACAGTGGGAAAGGCTCTTTTGATTGTCACCGCTTGTGTGAGTTTAAAACCATATGGGTGCTGTAGATACGCCAAGTTTTAAAGCACTGTATGATAATTTTTTTTCACTGAGAAAACTGATCAACAAGAGAGCGATTTTTTGTCAGATATCTCATACATGTTCAGATTTTAAACTTCATTATCCCTGTCACAAAAAAAAATTCAATGAATGTCATAAAAACACTGATGAGCCTTATGTGTCAAATTCAAATATATTTTCCCAGGATTTTACTAGGCTGATATCAGGGTCTTTTTGGCTGAATTTTGTATTTTGTATGAGTGTAGTTTGAAGCCAGAATAGTGGAACCTTTAATTTTCCTATCCATCAAATTTTATTAAAAATATGATGTAAAATGGCTGCAAAGTTTTTGCATGTGGAGATAATAAAAAGATATATTAGATTCAGCGTCAAGGCACGTTTAAAAAATTGTTTCATTAAGTCAATAAATGGGGGTAATGAAAGACATAAATAATAACCTATTGTACACTGTACTACATGTAAAGGCAAGAATTTATTGTTGGCAAATTTTAATTAAGTCAAATGCTAAAACTTTCAAATTTTTGATTTCACAACCTGCGTTTGTAAAGATGCTCCGTCACAGCCTTAGTACGTCATTTTTAAAATTCACTCTCTCGGTGCCAGTCAATTCTCATGGATGTATTTCAAATTTATCTGTATTCAAAATTTAAAAATAATGAAAGGAAATTTGTTATTCACTGCCCAAAATATTTGCCTTAAACACTGGAATATTCCAAATTCTGTGCCTTGACCTGTGGCCAAATTTGTACATGTACTAGGCTATGCCTTTTACCTTAATTCTCATATATGCACTGACCTTAAGGAATACACTGTTACGAATAACAAATAATTTGAAATGTACATTTTTAATGTAATGATGTAGCGCCTTGAGCACCAATGTTGGTGGATATTGTTATTAAACTGAGGCTGAATATCAATGCATGAGTATTTTTTTTTGTTAGATTATGCATTCATTTTGCAGGATGTTACAATGACAATTTGTCAGCAGAAAAGTTGTCGAGAATTTGTACATAGTGTATATGTATATGTTGCTTGCCATTGAGAAATAGTAATTGTGTAGATGTTTTATGAACTGTTTTGATGCCAAATTTTTTACACATTCCAAGTAATTAGGTGCTGTGCCGTGAGTGTCAGTTCAGATGTGTTGTAGTTGAATGTTACAAATGTTTGAAAAATGTGACGTGTGTTTATAGAAAGTGGTAAATATTTAGGTCAAGGCGTCGGCTGATAACATTTTGTAGATTGTCAGAAACTTTGTATTCTTCAATTTCATAGTTGTCATTGCAAAACTAGCTAATTAAAATTAAATTGTTTCTTTGATGTTTTGTAATATGCCCCAATATCATCAGGAAATTTTTTTTATCGTTAGCTGATAAATTCAATGACATTCAGGTCCTCCATTTTGAGGTTTTCTGTTCTTTGATGTTTTATAGATAAATACTTTGACGTGAAGTGGCTCCATTTGAGTGACCATTTTATTAATGAAATCTTACATGAACACTCTGCTTGTAAATCTTTATACACTGTACATGTACATGCATAGACCTTGATCATGCTGCCACCATTTCAGTCATGTTCCCTGTATCCAATAACAGTTCTGAATGATAATGGGTTTTTGTGCAAAAAGGACCAGACTATTTGTCCTTCCAGCCTCGCTTTGGTTACGTTGATTTAAATGGGAAAAAAATCAAGATGGCCGCAACATGATAATAGTCTATTTGTCATATTAAGGTGTCATCTCAAAACAAAATATCTGGGAAAGGTTGTGGGAAAGTTATCTGCAATAGACGCATTGTATCGTGTATAACTTTGTTGCAGGATTCTAGACAATTTCCCCAATATTTTCGAGTCTGTCATGAAGTTATCGTTTGTACAAAGTGCTATTAACTTAATTGCGGGAGAATTCCAAGGAGAATGTTCAGAATCACGTAACAAATACCTGATACAATGGCGTATAGAGGATAAACTTTCTGCAATGTATCTTAGATATTGATTGAGATAACTCCTAAGTTCACCATTTCTTTCCTTTTTTCCTGTTACTCATGCTTTGACCCTAACTGCCCTGAACTTCCTTGTGCGAACGAAATAGTAATTCGTGCGAACGAAATAGTAATTCGTGCGAACGAAACAGGAATTCGTGCGAACGAATTAGTAATTCGTAATTAGCAAACTCCAAAAAAAAATTCCACCCTGTCCCTTCCCGGGCTTCATATATCCCTCCACGGCCCATATTCAAGAAATAATGGAGGAATTTGCAGCTATACATATGCTATGTTTCCATGAGGCCAATTGGAGGATTTTGCAGGATTGAGGCTACATCCTAGCAAAAAGGCCTAGGGAGTTGGGTTAAAATTAAAAGTACTGTGTAATACTTCGAGTGACTTTTTAAAAATGAACTTTTGACTTTATTCAATCTACTTTACGTTGTGTATTTTGACAATGTTGCTGAAATCAAACTAACACCATAGCTTTAATGTACATAACTAAGCTTCGGTAGTTCAATTTTAACTTGCCATGATTGCATGCCAAAGAATATCTGTAATTGTAAGTATGAACAAGTATTTCCCTGAAACGGAGTGTTATAATTCCATGAAATGAAATTGGGTGAGGGGTAGTTTGTTGTGTTTAACTTGATGTCTACATCATAAATGAGCAACTGTAAACAGGAATATGAAGGACAATTTGTATTTAAATTTTAACCAAGTTAATCAAATATTATTTTGCAATAATGAAAGAGGCATTCATTCATTAGTTGATGTGTGTTGTCAACAATTCATTCAATATTTAATAGTACCTTGAAGTGAGAGAAGTGCATTTTAGAATTTTTCAAGTTACAAAGTACCACATGACCATGAGAAATATCTGTAAATATTTGTATTGTACAGTCTTTTTGGATCTGAATTAAAGTGAAATTCACGTAAAATGTTTTAAATTGAGCAAGTTGAATCCACGTTTGTGTGTAAATTTGTATTTGTTTTCTATTTTTTTTATTGTTTGTTGTGTGTTTTCCTGAAAAGTGTTAGCGATGTAGTTCGTTTTCGTCTCTTATTTTTTTTGGGGGGGGGGGGGGTGTATCAGTGAAACCGCGATAAAAGTGATGCCGAACAATTAGATTTATTCCATATAAACAAAAAGTTTACCACTGCCTACCCCCTAAAAAAGGGGGAAATCCACAAAAATCAACTGACGTTCTGAACAAAAACTTAACAGCAGTATACATCAAAATAATTAGGACGGTGTTTGCTTCAATTGAGAGGGGGAAAAATCCCTTTGAAACATTTTGGGACACTGCAAAGTTTGTGTTTTTAAAACTGTTCTTGTAAAATTGTGCAACTTACCCATGACTTGCTTTCCCTCGTCTGAGAAAAGGCTTTTTTAAGCTAGCAGACATTGACTGGACTACTGTATTCATGTGTCGGTATTTTTGAGGTAGCAGACTCGTTACTTTTGTCTCGAAATGTCTGTTTTACGACGCATAGAACTAAGGCTGTGTAAACGGTGTGGATATCTCACGTTAATTCTTACATTATTAAATTTCAAAGGCCCTAAGCCTGTTTTCGTTGAGTCTTGCGAAAAGACGCAATGCGCATTTTCACCTTTGTTCCCTGTTGTAAACAGGTGGTTGCAAAGATTTCATTGGTCAGAAGTTGCCGCACGCGCTGTTGTGCGTCACACGTGACTTGAGCAATTGAAAATGAGTGAAACATGCATCATGCTAAATGGGAATTGAACAAGTTAAAAAGACGCAATGCGCCAACGAGTAAAACATCATTAATGTTACCTCAATGTCTGAGAGTTTTGGGTTATTCATTACATTGTTTAATCATGGAGGATATGACTCGTCGGAGTCGTCGGTCACGGAAACAGTTGCCGCCGAAGATCGTGGCCTTTCGACCTCCGATGCTTCGACCGCCGGATGCTAGATTATTGGGGCAAAGCTTAAGGACCTTCAATGTTTAGTCCGTTAGCAATCCTATTTGTTGTAGTCATCAACTAAAAATTGAAAGATTAAAGAGTACTATTTCGTCTGTCGTCACTATTTGTGTAATACAATTGCTTTGGACATTGCTTTGGTTCTGAACCAAAATAATGTAGCTAAACCGGAAACGAAGCCGAGGTTTAAGGAAAACTCAAAGAAGCGCCTTATTTTTGAACAGCGCCCTCAACTTGAAAATGATTTAAAGATGGCAGCGCCCGTCATGCCCGTGGCCCCGTGACCGTGTTGAACAATAATTTTGTAAGTGGAATCATGGAGGAATTCCTTGCTCTATGGTGGAATGAAGCCTTGCAAGACGTGGGTACGGGTGTGGTGTGGTTGACTTGTACCCACTGGCACCACTTTGGGGATATTAGGTCATCAGTTGTAAAGGAAATGTGTATAAACAATTGAAACTCGCAAGCCGTTCGGCCGGTGGCGCAATGGCCGCGGGCTCAAGACCCGTCAATGTGGCGGGTGCGGATATCTGGGATTTTTTTCACGTTGGCTTATGTCCGACATGGCCGGCAACCGATGAAAACTGGTGTGCAAATGAATAGATGTTTTCATCAGTTGACGTCTAGCCCTACAAACAGGGCAGGAAATCACTAATTTGCTCTCTTTTGAAATTGATCTTATTTCTGTTGAGTGTTGTTGCAGCAAATGAAAAAAACAATAGCATACCGGTACAATATATGCCGAGGTGAATGCATATAGTAGTAGTCAAGGAGTGTGTGTGTGTGCCGGCACTGTCTGACTGGTGTATGACTGAGTATTCAATTACTAGTGAATTTGACTGCAGCCTTTTAGCCTAGGGTAATCAAAACGGGAAAATGTCCATACTCGATCGCCACTTACCTGCCGCCAAACATATCAATTTTCACCTCACCTTCATGACCTTGTTATTTCAACCAAGAGGAATCAAAGAACCAGCGGAAATGCGAAAATAAAATAGGCACAATGTGTTTTTAGAGCACATTTTCGATGCACACGTCGTGCAAAACTAAGTTGGAGCAGCCAGTCAACAGCGGTACGTTAATACGCATGACATCGACAACCAAGACGTCACATGAGCCGGCCAATGATAGTGCAATACGTCATTATGAATATTTATTTTCTCATGAATATTTAGTTTATTTCAATGGCTACTTCAAATACGTCCAAAGATTGATTATTGCAACAGCGATCGTGCTCGGCCTAGCGGTTAAGAGTCTCGTGTTTCAAGCAAGAGTCAGAGGTTCGAATCTCGATGAAGTAAGTGACTGATTAATAAATAGAAATAAAGGAAAGGAGAGGGTGAGACTAGAGTAGAGGAGGGAAAGTGGAGGGGAAACCATAAAGAATGTAACTTTTGGCGCTTGAAAATTAATTGAAAAAAGTGGTGATTGAGTATAAAAATTTAAACAAAAAAACACTCAAAAATGCACATAAATACAAACAAGTTTCATTTTATTGAGAAGTATGGGATCAGTTTAATTTAATGTCCATAACCTTTTTTTTTTTTTGTGCTCATTTTTCAGATTCGGGCATAACCGTTTCTTCCAAACCAGAACGCAATCTCCTAACTGAAGAAAAGCAATGTTACAAAAGAATATAAACCAAAGGGTTGTACAGACGCTCTGCTCTTCTGCTGTTCTGTGATCTCAGCATGACGAAGCTGTTCCACCCAGTGCAGTTCCTGCAATGCCAAATGTCAATAGCATCAAGATCTGTCCTACACAGAAGGTCCTCAGTTACCCTATCGCACTTCCCAAGGTTCTTTGCAAAGGATGATGGTATCCTGAGAATTCCCTCAGTTACCCCAAACCCTTGGCAATCGTCAAAAAGGACGTTGGCATCTTTTCCAAGATTGCACCTTATACCCTGCTTCAGAGTGTATGTAATATCACCCCAGAGTCTTTCCATGTCAGCGGTTGCAGCTGCATACCAGAGAAATAATTTGTCCTCACCATGCTATTCACTAAGGGCGTGGTTTTCCCAAGCCAGCAGATCTCTAAATCCGTCAGGGAAAACGGATCAGGAGAAAGAACGAGTTTTGCTAAGCGAGTACGGGAGGACGTATTCGGCCACAAAGAGGTACACTGAGCGGAGACTTTGGGAGCAGGAATCCGACAGTGAAGAGTTGGTTCAGGAAAGGCTCGATGACTTGCCTCCGGAGGACACATTTGGTACCCTGACCAACAAGTATGAAAAGAAGGTGAGAGTAAAATGCCCTACAACTTCTGGTTGCAACCATTTAATTTGTATGTACTGAGCCCAATACAGGCTGGATCAAGCAAATAGACTATTATCATGAGCTGGACCCACGGCATGTGTGGTCTAGCCATAGAGCACGGGATTCATGATCGTGAGGTTGTGGGTTCGAGCTCCGCCATGGCCATGCGTGTTGTGCCCTTGAGTAAGGCGCTTTAATACCTCAGATACTCCTCTCAACCCAGGACGGTGTTTAATGGGTACCAGCATTATTCAGTGCTGGGAAGGTAACAGACTCGCTGTGGAGGAGGTGTGGCGATCCCCCCACAGCAGCATACATGTACGAGTCAGGCCCAATCACTAATGAAAGAGAGATGGGCACTACGTTCCTGTGAACACAAGTTCGTCCCCTTTACCTTTTTTTTACCAGTCCATCTCCACTGAAGTATCCCATTGTACATGTTGTATAGCACAGCATCTCAACATTAGCCCCTCCTAATCAAATCCTACTGTCTGGCATCTCGTGCTGAACCTGTTTCTACAAAACAACAGAGGATGTCAGCGAGTCTCTGGCGCTATAACCAGGCTGCTTCGGGCAGTGGAGCTCGTTATTGGTAGGCAGTCCACCTACATGTAGGAGAAAGAGCACTCTGATCACAAACCGGGGTAGTTAGAGCTTGTAACCTAGGTCGGCAGTCTACCTACATGTAGGAGAATGACCACTCTGATCGCAAACCTGGGTAGGTAGAACTTGTAAGCCTTGGTTGGCAGTCTACCTAGGTACTCCAAAATCCCCCCACCGTACGTCACGGCGTTAGGCAGTCTTCGACCAGTGACTGAAGCGCTGGTGTGACATTGCAGCCCCTTGGCATCGCTGGTTGTCTTGTGTTCCCCATGCCATCGGATCCAACTCCTCAGGGTCAAGTCTTGTGAGGTTGATGGATGGCGTACCTCCTTTCTCACGTTATTCTCATCACTACGCAGGTTTCTTCACTCTCATTTGTGGGGACGACATCGTCGATTCAAAGGACTACCACTACTACTCAGTGACTTCAGTCATCAACTCACTCAGAGGACAGTAGGAGGGGCCAGCAAATATCACGGGCACCAAAAACTTGAATTTTGTTTTGATACATTGCGTTGCTTTTTTTTTTTTATATTCTAGTTTCACGTAAAAGGAGATGCCTTTGATCTTGAGGTTGACAGTGAAGACAAAACTGAGGGACAGAGTTTCAGACCGCCAGGCAGGCAAAACACACCGGACTGGTATGGTAACCAGATGAAGAAATTATGCAAAGAAGGAAAGGTAGTTGCATGACCTATTGTCCGTGTTCATATACATGCAGCATGCATTATCAGATTTCTTTTCCTCAATTTTGTTTGCTTTGCAGGTGAAAATGAAAACAGTTCTCATGACATCATTTAAATATGCTTTAAGCTCTTGAGCTTAAAGCATATTTAAATGATGTCATGAGAACTGTTTTCACAACTGGTTTCACAACTGAGAAAACAGGCTTTGAAATTGCTGCCTCTGTTGTAGATTTGGGCGCAATGCACTCAAAACTGTTGTTTTTTCCCTGACTTTATTCATCAAAATCAACATTTCTGTAAATGAACCCTGAAATTTTAGGTAATAAAGATGTCATTCATGACAAGAAATGAAAATCACATTTTGACGAAATGTTCACCCTCTCAACGTTGAGCGGGCGACTTGATACCCTTTTGTGTGGAGCGCAGGGGTGAGGTAGTAGGTAAGCCTCAAAAGCTGTAAAGGATGGGAGAAACACTGAGTAAAACGCTGAGCCAACACCCAGTGCTGGGTCGGCACAATTATGACAATCGTACACGTCACGAGCAGTGACCATTATGCCATTTGGTAAAGAATTTGCGGTTATTTTACCTGAAAATAAACCCTACTGTCTAGTTAACAACGCAGTTGCTAACCAAACGCCTGTCAACTACAATAGTGGCCAATCACATTGAAACCAGATGGTCAAGTGGTACATTGACGCCTTACGATCGGAACCTATTAGGTTTCTCACCAATAATGGCAAACAGTACATTGAGACTTCTTGTTTTGTATGTCTGCCACCTGCAGTTGCTGGAAGCCATTGACGTGCTGGAGGTTCGCATGCTGAAGGAAGACAGGGTGCAACCGATAGAGTTCAACTACGACGTGCTGATTGGGGCTTGCGGAAGGGAAGGCTACACCAAGAAAGCGTTCAAGCTTTACAATCAGGTATGGACTCTGGAAATGCTTTGTGATGCATCATGAGAGCTCTCCCACAGAGATCTGGTACAAGGTACCCTGTGGAGACATGTGCATAATAGGGAACCAAAGATTGTACACGTCTCCACAGGGCAATTTCTATAGGAGAAATACGTCTCCACAAGTTTATCACGAAATAGATATACATGTATGGATTTTACTCAAAAACTAAGAATTTCCAAGATGTGTTGATCCGATGCAAATTGAAGTATTTTATGTAAGGCCCAAAAAAAAAAGTCTCTGGTTTCTGGTATGGAGCTTGTCCAAAAAGTGGTGCGCCGACGCGGCTTTTTTTTTTTTTTACCCGACTTTTTTGCTTCAAATTTGCTTCAAATGTCGGCTGATGACTGCAAATGGTGCCCGACTAAACTTAGTGCAAATACATGTATATGGGAGTCCAGAGAGGCCACATAAAGCTTATTCTCGATCATAACCCCATCTAAAAACACGTTGAAATTGCGCAGCAGCAGAATTCCAGTCAAACCAGTGAGTTTTGCGGTTTTGAGACATCATCTTTCATTGAAAAAAAAACTTTTTCATTTTGCCGACGCGCATGGCTACGGCGACGCGCGCGCATACCAGAAACCGGAGACTTTTTTTTTTTGGCCTAAGGGATGTTAAGTCCCATTTCAGCCCAGGAAATTAATTCTGGTTAGCATTTTGAAACTACACTTTCAAACTCTAAAATTTAGTACACAAGAACAAAGAAATGACTCCACAAGGATACAAATTCCAGTATGCTGAGAATGTATACGTGCATGCACTGGTTACCACGCTTTTGTATCTTGAATGTGATACACGATACTGGATAATTCATATTAACTTACTGCTTTTAAAAGCATCCTACAAGGGTTAAACATGCACATCACACTATGGTGAACTGCAAATCACAAGCAATTTCTGTTCAAGTGAAAGTAACTTCACTCTTTTTTTGTTGTTGGTGTCATTTCTTTAACTTGGTGTGTAAGTATGCCCTCAGGGGTGAAAATACAACTGAATTTAACTTCTGATTATTGCTACAGGTAAAAGGGCAATTAAATATTCCAAACTGAAATTCTATTGGAATAGACAAATGGTTTACATAATTATTAAAAGTTTCTTTTGTAAAAGCGTTGGTTTATTTTTTTAAAATAATTTCTGTTATTCTACAGCTTGAAAGAAGGGGGGGGGGTTGCCTGTGAGTTTATTTCATTCATGGTCAGATTCTTGGGAAAGAATGTAGTATCCAGACGCCACTTTATTGGTTGTGTACAAAGTCTAAGGAGAGTCAAGTATTTTCTAACAAAATTTGAAATGTTTCTCAGTCCCAGATTCATGTCTTTTCAACATTTTTGCAATGACTGACCTTTATTGAGATGATATATAAAGAAAAAAAGTGTTATCAGGTTGCAACATTCTTTCCGATTCTTGTATGAGTTATGTACGCCGATATAATAATGAAAACACTCAAAACAAACCAGCATCGTTTTGGTGTTCACCACAGATGAAGAAGCGAGGCCTGAGGCCTTCAGACGTCACCTTCACAGGTCTCTTCAACGCCTGCGCCGAGTCGCCCTGGCCGCTGACGGACGGACTGACCAGGCTGCGCCACCTCCACTCCCAGCTCCAGGAGAAAGGTATCACCGTCAACCAGATCACCCATCATGCCATGATCAAGGCCTATGCAAAGTGCGGTGACCTCCCGGTGGCCTTTGACCTTTTCCGTGACCTCTTGTCGTCAGGTGTGGAGCTGACCTCGGAGAGTTTTGCCTTCCTGCTGTTCGCTTGTGCCAGCGATAAGGAGAGAGGGTTGCTTTATGCTATTGAGGTAGGCAGTGTAGGTCTGCTAAATAGACCTGTCTGTGACTATCTGTGACTATCTGTGACCTAACCATTTCATGCTATGTAAATTTCCTCAACTTGTGATCATTCTGTGTTGAAAAAGTTAAAGAGCCTGACAGTTTGATCCTATAGACCTTTATTAGGCTGCCACCTTTTCAATCATGTTCCCTGTATCCAATAACAGTACTGAATGATAATGTTTTTTTGTGCAAAAAAGGAACCAAACTATTTTCCCTTCCAGCCTCGCTTTGGTTACGTTGATTTGATGGGAAAAAAATAAGATGGCCGCAACATGATATGGTCTATTAGAATCTTTCTCGAAGGCAAACTTTTAACTTTTGATTTTAATTTATGCATTATGCAAACAAACTATGGTTGGTACTACAGGTTTAAGACATATAACACGTACCATTATATTCATTTTAAAATGTTTGCTTTCTAAAAGGTACACCAAGTACGTATTGCATGTGGGTCATTTTATGTGTTTTTTATTTGTGTATCAGACTGGTCAAGTGCTTGAACATAAATGTAGTATGCAGTGTCAGTGAACTTTAGAGTGCAAGACGAAATGCTAACATATAACTGGCAAAAACAAAAATTCTGATAGAGTACACTCTTCCTGATTTGTGGAAGCTATTTTAAAGCTCTACATGTATGTAGTATCTTTAAGTTCTTTTTGCAACTTGTTAATCCCACGTACAGGCTTGGCGTCAGATGCTACAACGAGGTATCAAGCCTGATATCTACACATACAACCTCCTTCTGAGGATTGCAAGGGATTGTGGGATAGGTGATCCAGAGGCGGCCACTCGCGTCCTCCTTAAACAGGCAGAAAAACAATCAGAAATGCTTCCGGCACCCAAAAAGAAAGGCAAGACAGCTTCAGCTCAAAGGTCGGCTCAGCCTAAGGTTCAAAGGTCACAAGATAATCCGATGACGGGAATCATGGAAGTGAAACCACTTGGAGTTGAAGATGAGGTGCATCAAGACGTTGTTACTGGTGCAACAGATTCCATCAGTCAGTTGGGAGCTGCTGAGAAGACACTGGTTCCCCAACAGGAGGAGCTTCCGAACCTTCTGGACCTGTCGCCGGATACCAGTCGAGTCCACTCTCTAGCGAACGTCTCGACTGCCTCGGATCGCCTGGCCCTCCTGGGTGGTGCCAGCGGCATTCTGGCAAGCATGAAGAACCAGGGCGTGATCCCCGACGTCAAGTCCCTGACGCTGATGATGGAGAGCCTTCCCATGACCACTCAGGACGAGGAGAGACTTCTTGAGGTGGTGGATGAGTACAAGGTCAGGGTAGATGTGGATTTCTACAATGCCATCATCCGGAGGAGGTCTCGCAGGGCGGATCTTGAAGGTGCTAAGGTATTGGAGAAGTTTCTTTGACCCTCTCACAACTTCATCATACCCATGTGTAGTCAGTAGCCATCTTGGCGATGTAAGGCTTCATCCAAAATACTTGGCTACGTCTAACAGTAACACATGGGTGTATGAGAAGTGGCTTCGGCCACTTATAGTTGCAAGCCGTGACCAGGTTAATGTACTTCAGATGCGGTCTGAGTCTCATGTGCTTACATGAAATTCCCTTGTCTGTCATACATCTAGGTCACTGTTGAAGGCTACCTATGCACGGAGACCATAGCTCAGAAGTTAAATTGTTCAGGTTTTGTTCCCGATTCCAGGATTTCTTTGTCAGATTTTTCCCCGATTTCAGGAGATTTTAAAGAATCCCTTTGTGAAATCAGGTTTCAGGTTTCAGGTTAGTCTGCAATCCTTTAGGTTTTATCGTTAGGTATTTTCACCTATGAAAGTTTATATAGAACACAAGAAATGGGTATTGTAAGGGGTGCCTTTAGTCAATTCAAACATAAACCATAGGCCCCATGTTGCTCTTGGGCCTTCGGCAACCCTCCAACCCTCTGCCATTTATGTTGCGGATGTTTCACATTAGGGCTGTCCATTTTCAAATAACTAAGTATTCGATTACTCGAAACTGGGTTTGACCGGATATTCGAATATTCAAAACTCGCCGATCAAGTTAACCGTGTGCCGCACCGATGAAAAGTTGCGGGCAAAGCTCGCCAGTTAAAGTTTGTGTGTGGCGCGGCGATCGATATTATGGGCCGCTCAACTTGTTTTGCAGTTACTGTTTTATAACTGTCAAGGGCAATAACCTGCTAAAAGGATGGCAACAATGAACTGCAGTTGGCGAAAAGGTTACGGTCAACATAGAAGTGGCATCTGACAATAAATCACAACTTTACGATTAAAGGGAATATACAACATTTGCAAACATCGAAAAATAAAACTACCAAGTTTTTACAAAATACCTTACTAGGATGTTGGTAAATGACAGTCTAAGGCATCCTGTAAAATTATGGCACCTGGTGTCAAGTCATTTTCAAGAAACTTGTATTTTTTTATACATTTCCAACGGTGGTCAGCCAATCACCGTTGGAAAAACCTAACTATTTTTCAACTACTGCTCCAAATTTACAATTTTCGGTCCAAATTTTGTTTGCTATTGGTTACATGTTCATGAACGGGTGCAGGCCAGCTAGACTGGTTCCCTTACCTTACAATTTTCCGACAACTATAAATTGATCCATTTTATCTTTAGTGGAGTCGGGGGAACCAGACTACTTAAACATTTTTTTGTTTTTCTTGGTTTTTTCAAGCATTTTCGAAACACCAAACTTCAAAACATGTCAGTTAAACAATATTTGATCTAGGCCTATTATACTAACCCCTCAAATAGTTCATTTCTGAAAATTACAGCAAAAGCCAATGATGTACATTCCCTTTAATATAACACAACAGTTATGTGTGTACGTGGGTACTTTTCATCCCGAATATTTGAACTGGTAAAAAGCTATTTGAATTTTCGGTTGATGATTGAACAGTCAAATATTCAGTATATCCGGACAGCCCTATTTCACATTCCCCCAATCTTACCGCTTATATTTATTGAAAGTGTGTGCGGTCTGCACTGAAGGTGATGTGATTTACAAGTACATGTAAGGGCATGTTTGACGGGTTATGAATTATCTTATCTCCTTTTAAATACAGGGTGAGTTAAAAAAAACCGAAACCCAAATGTTCGGACTATTGTTTTAGTAAAGTTCTGCATGTAGCCCTTTCAAAATCTAGGATATGAAAGCCCAATTCAAAGGCTTTCTTGTAGTACATGAATCATTCAAATCACTTATGTACTTTTCAAGTTACGGAATTTTAAACACAACCACCGTTTTAAAGTTCTGTCCACGGACCACAAAATGGTAGGTGTTCTTTCAGCAAAACGAAAACAAATCATACAGGGATGTGTATGAATTGTTTTCGTTTTGCTGAAAGAACGCACACCTTTTTTTGTGATCCATGGACAGAACTTTAAAACAGTGGTTATGTTTAAAATTTTGTAACTTCAAAAGTACATAAGTGATTTGAATGATTCTTGTACTTAAAGAAAGCTTATGAATTGGGCTTTCATATCCTAGATTTTAAAAGTGCTACATACAGAACTTCACTAAAACAATAGTCCCGACAATTGGGTTTTGTTTTTTTTACTCACCCTGTATCATGTTATCCCACTTTGTGTTTATACAATGTTTCCTTCCTTCTTTTTTTTAACCAAAGGATTCTTATGAGTTATTGTACCCTTTTGCTGCTTGGCTGAGACTGTGAATTGTTTCTTAATCTTTTTTTGCCAGGCTGTCTTGCCGCTGATTCAGCAGAAGGGTTTGTTCCCCAACCTACGGACGTTTGTCAATTTGGCCTGCGAATGCAGCCGGGCCAAGGATGGAATACAGCTCTTGAAAGACATGAAGGTGAGTTTAGAAAAGGAGTTAGGAAATTTTACCTACATGTATGAGCAGGATCAATAATTGAGGAAACAAACTGAATTTCTGAAAAAAAAATTGCCAACCTTATGCTGTACTTATTTGGAAACATGAAAGGCAAAAAAAAAATAGTCAGGTCTCTGGTCAGACCAAAGTTCCGGAATCAATGTGGCGACGCGTTTTTTTTTTTTGGGGGGGGCAATTTAAGCTTGGATTGTACAGACAAAGTGGGTACTATTTTGCTTTTTTTGTGTCCTCATATACATTGGTTTCCTCCATCATTGGCCTTGGTTCCCCAAATCATTTTCCTTTGTGCAATTTCCCCTTTTCTTGATGCTCCTTGTTACAAAAATTTGAGGAGGTGCGGCAATAGAGGGCGCTGTTGTAGCTACCACGGAAAATTTGAAGGAAAAAAATATTGACACGCAGGATTAAAATTGATGCGCGCACTGACCAGAGACCAACTATTTTTTTTTTTGACCTAATATGATACCGATTAAAATGAGCTACGTGCAGGAACGTTAATGTGCATTTGATGAAGTCATCATCGTGTTAATATTTTATCAATTTTCAGACAGCAAATTCTGCACTTTCAGAATTCAGTCTTATTTGCTTTTACACACTGAGGAGACCTTTGCCCAGTACACAGACCTACGTAGCTTATGAATAACGCTCAACTTGCTAAAACACCTGTTGCATGGATCTCAGTTTTATTTGATTAATAACCAAAATGAAGGTATTTACTTTGGATATTTTTTTCAAATGGATATATTTTTTTCAAATTATTTTTTGATGTAAATTGCAAAAGTCAGTTTTTTTCCAGATATAAAAGAAAAATCATCTACAATGCATAAAAACATATTAAATATAATTAATGCATTGTAGATGATTTTTTGTATGAAAAGGTATGTCCGAAATTTACATTACAAAATACAAATTACTTAACGCTCACTGCAATGGCACAACATTTTACATAACAATCTAAATGCTGTTAGTGGCATTTTATGACACGTATGCACATTCTAGACAATTTGGCACATCCAAAACCAATTTTTTTTTTGGGGGGGGGGGAGGCCCAAAAAGATGGTATACATTGTATTTCTTTTTTAAAGGGGTCACATTAATCACCTACCTGTATCAAGGTTTATTGAAAACCAAAGAAAAAGGAAAGTGTAAAAAATGTCTTCATTCTTTCCCTGGGTAACCTATTTCTGACGAAAAAGTACCCATTGTTAGGGGCCATGACCCCCGTTGCCCCTTTGAGATTCTTTTCTTTGTCATTATGTCTATTTGCAGACAAGAAATCATTTCAAATTTAATACCCACACTGTAGTGTCTTGGGTTTTCTAAATAAAAATGGACATGAGAGGTTTCTTTGAAATATGAAGCCACCTTTTTAATAGTGAGGTTGGGTGCTTAATGGTCAGTGTGCTTAGCTTTGTGGGGGAGAATCTGAAAACTTGACCTGGTCACAACACACAAGTTACAACATGTCTATTTGCAGCCATGAAATCATTTGAAATTTAATACCCACACTGTAGTGTCTTGGGTTTTCTAAATAAAAATGGACATGAGAGGTTTCTTTGAAATATGAAGCCATCTTTTTAATAGTGAGGTTGGGTGCTTAATGGTCAGTCATGTCAGTGTGCATAGCTTTGTGGGGGAGAATCTGAAAACTTGACCTGGTCACAACACACAAGTTACAACACCCCCCCCCCAGGACAGGGAACGAGGGCAAAGCAAAACCTTGTTCATATCAAACTAGAGGTGTTTTAAAGAATAGAATCTCAAACATTAAAGATGGCCTTGTTCAGCTGAATATTCCTATAATTATTTGTGATACCGGAGTCTTATATAGCGCACGTACATGTATCTACCAACAATTAGGTACTCAAGGCGCTGGAAATTATGTCTATTATTAAAGACCGTTAAATGAAGTTTATGAGAAATATGAGACCCATTATGTAGCACCCAATACAAGGTGCTGTGGCGCATATTGCAGCCACTGCCAGAAACACCGGGGCAAACCCCTTCTCAATAGCGATAAGTGTTACTGTGTTCTTTAACGTGTATTACACAACACACGGGACCTACATGTACGGCTTTACGTCCCATCCGCAGGACAAAGCAGTAAAGTGCTTTACTCAAGAGCACAAGCACCATTTTTCCACGGTAAGGATTCGAACCCATGTACCACGGCACACAAGTCGAACACTGTAACCATTGGACCACAGCACCCCGCGAAACGGGGGATGGGGATGAGGCAAAACCTTGTTCATATCACACTAGAGGTGTTTCAAAGAATAGAATCTCAAATGTTAACAGATGGCCTTGTTCAGCTGAATATTATTACCTACTGGAAGAGTCTAAGTTACCCAAATAAAACATCCTTAACTTTACCTATAATTAATGGTCACCCCCGCAAAACGGGGGATGGGGTGAGGCAAAACCTTGTTCATAACACTAGAGGTGTCTTAAAGAATAGATCTCAAACGTTAAAGATGGCCTCGTTCAGCTGAGTATTAACTACTGGAAGAGTCTAATTTACCCAAATAAAACATACTTAACTTTACCTATAATTATTTGTCACCCCGCAAAACGGGGATGGGAGTGAGGCAAAACCTTTTATCACACTAGAGGTGTTTCAAAGAATAGAATCTCAAATGTTAACAGATGGCCTTGTTCAGCTGAGTATTAAGTACTGGAAGAGTCTAATTTACCCAAATAAAACATACTTTTAAGTATGTTTTAAAAGTTAAAACTTTACCTATAATTATTTGTCACCCTCGCAAAACGGGGATGGGAGTGAGGCAAAACCTTGTTCATATCACACTAGAGATGTTTCAAAGAATAGAATCTCAAATGTTAAAGATGGCCTTGTTCAGCTGAGTTTTAACTACCAGAAGAGTCTTAACCCTAAAAGGACCGGGTTATTTTGACCATCTCTCAGCCGTACACCATACATGTACACGTACATGGGGAAATTCAGTTTTCACGGCACGTAGCACGGGAAAATTTTTTGAAAAATGTTTTTGGTATCAAAAGATGCGCAAGGCTCGAAGCTAAAAAGTCATGACAGCTCGGGTCGCAAAATTTTATTTTTTATGGCTATCACGGAAAAAGTTGAGGGGGGGGGGGTAGGTTGGATTCCGCCCCCACCCTGCCTCTTTAGAGTTAAGTTACCCCCCCCCAAAAAAAACACCCTTAACTTTACCCAAATTTGTCAAGAAACTAAGAACACTTGGGACCTTTATGTGATTTAATCTGTTTTCGAAAAATGTTTTTGGTATCAAAAGATGTGCAAGGCTCGAAGCTAAAAAGTCATGACAGCTCGGGTCGCAAAAGTTAAGGGGGGGGGTGGATTCTGCCCCCCCCCCCCGGCTCTTTAGAGTTAAGTTACCCCCCCCCAAAAAAAAAAACGCCCTTAACTTTACCTGAATTTGTCAAGAAACTAAGAACACTTGCGACCTTTATGTGATTGAATCTGTGACAGATCTGTTATTTGACTTCTGGTTTGACTTGTAAATGGCTTGACCACATCCTGCACCACATCTTGCTTGTCACCCATTGCAGGTAGCAGGTCTCAATCCAACCGTGAATGTCTACGATGCTTTGGTGACTGCAGCGGCACGCAATCGGGACTATTGGTACCAGACCGAGCTGCTGAAATGCATGGAGAAGGACAAAGTCTCTCCTAATGAGCGAATTCTGCAGAAATTGGAGACCATGGCAGCGTTTGGTCAGAACCCTTACAAGGTAATTGCTATATCAAATATGTGAGGTGATCTGGTAAATTGAGACAGAACTGGACGGAGGTCAAAATAAGGGTTGTGAATATTAGGAAAGAGAATAAAATTCTCCTTATAATACTGTTTCTTGCACTTCAGTCAGACATTTTGTTCACAAAGTATGGTTGTGTAAAATTTGCATTTATCAACATGTCAAAAAAGTAAAATACTGAGAATTTCTTTTGTTTTAGTTTGTAGTTTTTGTGAAAATGAGAAATGCCAATTGTTTTTGTTTAAAAACACTTTTATTGCACAATTTGTATACTATTTCTTTAAAGCGTGGAGCAAAAAGCTCCATGTTTAAAACATGTGTAGTAGACATCTCAAAGACGACGAATATCAATACATCTGAATATTGAATAATTAAATTCACCCTCATTTCTTGTTTGTTTTTGCATTTTTTCCCCACTACGGCCTTCGCCCAGTTCCGTCTTATTTTGTCAGAATTACTCACATACATTTCCAAGGCTGCGTCTACATTACTTGGCTATGGCTAGCAGCAACACGTGTCTATGGGAAGTGGCTTCAGCCATGTCAATACTGCAAGCCGTAGTCATATAATCCAGTAGGGCCTTATGCTCATTGACAGATCCCATCAGAACTTGGAGTGCTTTGGAATTGCTGGGCATTTGCAGTGGTTGATAATGCGTCTGCACTAGAAAGCAGGTTGTCTTCCACCGCAATTTTATTTGTGAAATTTGTTTTCATCTTCAACTTTTAAAGGGGCACTAGGTCATGAAATCCCTGAAAATTTCATGCTTTGGATTGTTTAATTATCCTATTTCAAACATCTGGTTGAAAGAAAATTACCATTTCCGAGAAGAGACGGAAAAAACCCGGTCGTTTACATCGGACACGATGGAGTAAGAGCATGTTTTTTCTGTCCTTCAAAGTACAATATGTACACAGCACGGCTGTCCTCGCGAACAGTGTTGACCAATGACCAATGCATAATATGTGTTTTTTTACACGTCCGCAAAAGGCGAACACTTTACGGATGAAATCACAACTATAGCATTCAAACAGCTCGACTTTTTGGGGTCGCAAAGGTGGACCCCGAAAGTCGTTTTCGCACGCATAATAGGGAGGTTTCGCAAGTGAACGGATACACTTACACTTACGTTTAGCTATCCGTATCCGTTTTTTACTTACGTGTAGCGAGCGAGATATGCGTGTCGTCTGCACGTATGACGTCATACGCCACTCACTATCCGCTAAACGTGCAGACGACACGCATATCTCGCTCGCTACACGTAAGTAAAAAATGGATACGGATAGCTAAGCGTAAGTGTAAGCGTATCTGTTCGCTTGCGAAACCTCCCTATTAAAGGAATAACACAAAAACGGCCATTTTTTATTGGATAGTTGTGTTGATGTTTATATCCTACTTTTAAATGTTCTTTCGGTTTAACATTATTTCATAAAAAGCACATTTTGTTGGCCATTTGGGCTGTTCCAGGACGTAGTGTCCCTTTAATCCTGCTGATACTGTTGTGGAAATAAATTTCTTTATAATAATATATGACATACATCAAAATTGTGATATTTGGATAAATTGTGGGGTTTTTTTCACCTGGGGAAAGGGAACCTGAAATGCATGCCTCAGTGGCCAAATGAGATTGTGAATCTTCCCTGTAGGGGAATTTATAGATAGATTTAGTAAATTAATTTTAGCTTCATTTTTCTAGGATAAACATCTGGTATGTGCGTCCATAGGTTACCAACCTACATGAACATGTACTTTCTCAATTGTGTGTCAGTGCAAATTGCCTCAAATCCATTGGAAGATGCTGTAGGCTGTACATGTATACATGGGCTCCGTGCACAAGTTCCCAATTAACGATATTTTCTTTAAAGGAAGGGGGAGTAATTTCAAACAAACAGAAGTTCCACTCCATCACTCCTGAACTTATCAAATTACACTGGCTTCCAATCACACAAAGAATCAACTACAAGGTCATCATTCTTATGTTTAAAGCATACTGGAAACAAGCTCCTGCTTACATTACGGACATGCTCCAAATTAGTTCTCAACAGAGACTACTTCAATCATCAACCTCCTGTTCACTACACTTTTTGAGCCTAGAACCCATTGTGTCTCTTTTACTGATACTAGAAACAAGCTCCCGCTTACATCACGGACATGCTCCAAATTAGTTCTCAACAGAGACGACTTCGATCATCAACCTCCTGTTCACTACACTTTTTGAGCCTAGAACCCATTGTGTCTCTTTTACTGATACTAGAAACAAGCTCCCGCTTACATCACGGACATGCTCCAAATTAGTTCTCAACAGAGACGACTTTGATCATCAACCTCCTGTTCACTACACTTTGTTGAGCCTAGAACCCAATGTGTCTCTTTTGCTGATAGATCATTTTCTGTATACGGCCCCAGAGACACTCCTGAAAGCTCACCTGTTTCAGGAGGCGTACCATCAATAATTTTTCTTCTTTTTGGTGCCCCATCCGGGCCTTAGAGCAAATTTTTTGATTTTGGCGCTTTATATATTTCTTTTGATTGATTGAGTTGGGGAGACTATTTGGAGATCAGAACGCTCATACCACATTTTCACTGGCAAGTGCTGATAAAATCCTACAATCATGCACCCTATAACATATAATACCGGTACCATAGTGTACAAATGCCCCCTTCTCACAACTATTTTTTTTGGGGGGGGGGGGGTTTGCGATAATTTGCACGTCAACTTCTACAATTGGCTACTGCCATTTTTTTTTTAGGATTTTTTTTGGGGGGGGGGGGGCTAGACAAAATTTTTGAGGGGCTACAGCCCCCCTGTAGAGCCAGGCCTGCCACAGCCACGAAAACTCAAACATTCTCTCATATTTGAAATGCTAATTAAAAAGCCACCTTGTTTGAAATTGAAAATGCACCAGACGGAAATGAGACATTTTTTCCCTTTTACCCTTGGAATCAATTAACATTTAATTAAAAAAAAGCCACAAGAACCAGGATCTCAGGCTGGAAGGGACAAATGAAACAGAAATAAAAAAAAAAAACGATCAGCCTTTACTGATTCTGATTAGGTTTGGCCTCTCTCGAAGCAAGGCATTAAGTGATTTTCCCGCCTTAACCATTCTTAAGCCGCGTATCCACAAGGTAATAAACCGATGTTTGTTGTTTGTCTGACTGCCAGAGGCTCAGCCCATGGACTTGACAAAATTGACTTAACATGCTTATTGCCAAAAAAAAAAGTCTCCGGTTTCTGGTATGGAGCTTGCCCCAAAAGTGGTGCGGCGACGCGGCTTTTTTTTTTTTTTTTTTACCTGGTTTTTTGCTTCAAATGTCGGCTGATGACTGCAAATGGTGCCCGACTAAACTTAGTGCAAATATTATGGGAGACCAGAGATGCCACATAAAGCTTATTCTCGATCATAACCCCATCTAAACACACGTTAAAATTGTGCAGCAGAAAGATTCCAGTCAAACCAGAGTTTGGCGGTTTTGAGACATCACCTTTCATTGAAAAAAAACTTTCTTATTTTGCCGACGCGCATGGCTTCAGCGACGCGCGCGCATACCAGAAACCGGAGACTTTTTTTTTTGGCCTAAAGGTAATATACAGGGTGAGTAAAAAAAAACGGAACCCATACCCAAAACAATGTATTTCATATTTAAAAAATATGTAGCACCAAAAATAATAATGACTGGAAAGCCAATTTCAAAAGCTACTTTTAGATGGAAAAAACTACTGAAATTGCTCAATCCGTTCAAAAAATATCACCATTTAAACGCAATGACCCTAAAACCTGTCTCGTCCAAAAAATCAATTTATTGTGTGTTTTGACTGTTGGAACAACAAAGAAAATGACGCAGAATACTTGTTTCAACAACTGTCACCAACCGTAGCACACAATATTTTGATTAACAACCCTGGTTAAGCAAACAATATGATTTATAAAATCTACTTTTTTAAAAGACGGGCCTTCAAAAGGACTTTGTTGCATATTGTTAATGTTTAAACTAAGATTTCATTGCTGGTGATGTTTGAAGACAATTGTGACGACGATTGTTGAAATCGCATTTTTTGGACGAGACAGGTTTTAGAGTCATTGTGTTTAAATGGTGATATTTTTTTAACAGATTGACTAATTTCAGTAATCTTTTTCATCCAAAAGTAGCCTATGAAATTGGCTTTCCAGTCATTATTATTTTTGGTGCTACACATTTTTTTAATTATGAAATATAATTTTTGGGGTTTGGGTTCTGCTTTTTTTGACTCGCCCTGTGCAACGTTTGCTTTGGCTTTAATTTTCAGAAATGGATTTGTGGGTAAGTAATAGTATTTTATAGCAAATAGTGTACACTTACCTGTTTAGAGGGTTGTGTGTTCATAGATGCTGGAAAAAACCAAGAAAAGAAGTGCTGTTCTTGTAATCTGGTTCCCTGACCCTACTTCAGACAAAACAGAGCAATTTATAGACGTTGGGGAATTGTCAGGTCAGTGACCAGACTAGCTGGCTTGCACCCGTTTAGGGATGTGTAACCGTTTGCAAACAAAATGTGGACTAACTAAATTTGGTAAATTGGGGTAGTATTTGAAAAAAAGTCAAAATTTTTTCCAACGGTGGTCAGCCGACCATCGTTGAAAATGTATTGAAAAATTCCACCTTTCCAGGAAATGACAGCACACCAGATGCGTGAACTTATATTTTTAAGATATATGTTATTTTAAATTTTTGACCAAGTGTAGCAATAAAAAAGTTGGAGGTCCAAAATATTCCAAGCAGGTCGGGATATATTCTCCCACATTTTTGTTTAGCCTCACAAAAGTTTGATACAGTAGACCTGTAACATAAAGACGTCATGTTTCCTATTCAAGGGCGGATCCAGAAGACAATTTTGGTCCCCCCAAAAAGTGGGTCAAAAAATTACGGCGTGGGGTTCGGGGCCTGCTTAAATTTTTTGGATTCTAGATGCTCTGTGGTGCGATCTGAGGCAATTTCTGACCACTTTTACCAATGTTTTTTGAGGAAAAGATGGTGGTGTACTCATTGCCTGCCTTTATTGTGACGTCACATAAAAACAAAACAAAAATTGGTTTCGTTTTTTGGGGGGTGGGGGCATGGCCCCCTTTGGCCCCCCCCCCCCCCTGGATCCGCCCTTGTTCCTATTTGCAGTTTAGATTAACTTCAGATACAGGTAGAAGACGTACACAGTAGATTAGCTTTCCACAGTGGGCAACCTTTAATTTCTTACCTTGAGTAAATGAGATTGAAAAAAAAAAAGCTCAACATGGATTTAATGTTTTTTACAGGAAATTGAGTTGCAGTTGGCGAACACGTGTTAGGAAAACGTGACAATGCAAATAGTTTCACTTGAACTTTAGTGGATATGTTTGTCATATTCAGATAATCCAGAAACTGTCTTCTACCTGATGAAGATTTATTCCCCACCCCGAAGAAGCAACATTGATAGGAAGTTATGAGGTCCAATGTGATATTCTGTCCAAGTGGTTTAAGTCCTTAACCTTTCAAGCATATTCTCCTACGCTTCATTAAAACTATCAGTTTCATTCTTCAGTTTAGAGTTCAAATGCCACATAATTCTTTTTGTTGGGGAAGGGGTGGGGGTAGGGGAGGTATCTTGACATGTTTCAGGATTATCTATGATTTACTTCATCTGAAAAAGACAAAACCTTGTTACAGACTAGTGCTACAGATTGATTCCAAACAATATGATTCCTAAGATTTGACAGAAGTAGGGCCCTACATGAAATGTTCAACATTTGAAACAACCAGAAGCGGCCACATCATGACATCGAACAACTCCACACAACAGTGGTGTAACTATGGTGGGGGGGAGGGGGGGATGGAGGGGGGTGGAGCTTGAGGCATGAGAGCCCCCCCCCCCCCCCCCCCGGTCAAATGAGGGGAAGCAAATGTGAGCTTTGTATTGTTCAAAACCCATTGAGTTCTCCCCTCCAGGATATGAAGCCACCTAAGTGCTCCACCCCCTGCAAGTCGGCCCCTATTAGACACGGACTCCAGAGTCAAGTCAAGGGGAAAATTCAAACATCACGTTCGCAATTAAAATCTAGTTCGGTTCACCTGAGCCGCTTTTAGTACTACATGTATTTGGTTGGGTGTTTGGCTTATATAACGAACACATTTGGCTTACGTTATTAATCAAGGAAGTCCTTGTATGTTATTTTTTTTTTTTTAGGGAAGCCGAAGCAATTGGGCAACCAGGCAGCAAACCAGATTGAATCATTTCCGAGGGGTCTACACCAAATGGCTTGACCGGATGGGGCTGGAAGAGACACCACACCCATGGAAGAAGTTTTACAGACCTAGAGGGGATCCTCCTGCCTCCCTTGAGCACAAGGAATGATGAACAGGTGATCTGGCAGACTATGCTCAGAGATGCTTATATGGGCCATGGTTCTCATAACCCCACCAGGGCCAGATCCAGGCTTAGATCAAGTAGGGTGTTTAGCTGCCGAGAGGAAGGTTTAGCAGGCATAAGCTGTGTTTTTCTGCACGATTTTCATATTTTCTATGGCCAAAGAGGGGGTTTACCCTCCCCCTCACCCCACGGAAATCCACCACTGCACTCTTCCCTTGGTGGAAAGCGGCAGTGGCAAGCACCACACCACCCCCCTTCCCATTTCTTCCTTTGCTTTCGTTTGCAAATCCAGGCGCGGTTCTAGAACCAATATTTTGGGGGGCTAGCAGGGTGGATCCAGAATTTGGGGGGGGGCTCATGCCATATTTTCAATGGGGAGCGCCAATAAAATCCTGAAATCATTCACACTATATTAACTACAAATGCACCCTTGTCACGACTATTTCTTTAGGGGGAGACCGTTCACAATCCTTCTTTTTGCTATAATGCAATTTCTTTTTACGGAATTTATTTTTTTGGGGGCTAGCCCCCCGTAGAACCGCGCCTGGTCAAATCGTCCCTCATTATAACCATTCCTCGTAATGCGATGCCCTGTCCAATTATATTCAAGTATGGAAGTCCTGGAATGAATGATGCAAGCTATGCGCAGGAATGAAATAACAAGGACATTGATAAAACCGAAGGACTCATGAGAGCCTTCCGTTATTAACTGAAAACATGAAATTGAGCTTTTCTGTAGAAAATACTTTTAAGATTAGACAATTATATAAGATGGATTAAGTTTTATAAGTTGTGTTGTACCACCCGCTGAGTCTGCGTCTGTTGTCAACCTTTTTTTCTTTTTTGAGTTTTTAATTTGGAAGATTTCTCTGGGCAATGAAATTGTTTATACTCTGCATCTGTACATGTCATTTTATCACTTAAAGGGAAAATACAACATTTGCAAACATCAAAAAATAAAACTACCAACTCATTTTGAAATACCTTGCTGGGCTGTTAGTGAATGACAGTGTAAAGCATCCTGTAAAATCATGGCACCTGGTATCATACTGTCACTTTCAAGAAAAGTGGTATTTTTGTATCAATTTCCAACGCTGGTCGGCCGACCAGCGTTGGAAAAAAACTGGCTTTTTTTCAAATACTGGCCCCAATTGACCATCGCACTTGTTTGCAATCGATTACACACCTATGAACGGGTACAAGCCAGCTAGACTGGCTCCCTGACCTTACAATTCCCCAATGTATGTAAACTGCTCTGTTTCTTCTTATATGGAGTCAGGGAACCAGACTACAGGAAAATGATTGTTTTTCTTGGTTTTTATAGCATTTTCGAACCCAAAACCTTAAAAAAGTCAATGTAACTATATTTGCTGTATATTTCCAACCCCCCAATTCCATCCATTTCTGAAAATTACAGCAAAAGCAAATGATGTATATTCCCTTTAACTTCCCAGAAAATCGTCCTTTTATTAAACTGAAACCAATTCCAGCTGCAAAAGTTACTCAGGATTTCCATCATCTGTCCGACTTTTTGCTGTGAAATAAAGGCAACCATATTTGCATATGAAAGCTTTAAATCCATTGAAACAGCCACAGTAATTATCCCCGCCAAGGAGGTTATGTTTTCATCGGCGTTTGTTGATTGGTTGGTTTGTCTGTTTAAAAGATAACTCAAAAAGTAATGGCCGGATTTGCATGAACAAAATTTTAGGGGTGGTCCTTATATTTTGGAAGTGATCGGAAAGTGATCCGAATCTGGGTCTTCATCCTGAAATTTTTTGAAGGATTCTTCACCTTTTATGGAGTATTTCTTTTGGGTGTATGACCATATGGCGATGAATTTTTATGGTGTTTTTTTATAAGTGTTTTATGGTTAATGATGTCATTCTTATTCCTTTAGATTAGCATAACTTAAAAAAAAAAATGTTGCCTCCCTCGGAAAAAAATCTGAAAAACTACTGCAATATGATTTGAGACACGGAAGAGAGAAAAATATTCTGAGAGACATCGTGCCGACAAGCTGTCTGTTATTTCCAAGGGTCCTCCGGTCATTGCCTTAAAAACGGTCCAAATGAGGTAAATACCATGGCAACCCAACAGGACACAGCTGATTTGAACAGAAACACATCATCACTTTTCTTGCCGAGGGCCCGTCATTGCACTATAATCACCTGACAGATACAAGGGCTCTCCACACAGGGGTAATTGATTAATATCCCCCTCGGGCTGATGACAATAGAAACTATTGGACTTGCAATAGGAAATATTGGACTTTCACGTAAACAACAGCTGTGGTTTAATCTTACAAATGGGAGAAAGAAACAACAGTTTTAAACATTTTTTTACTGTATGTTGATAATGTGAGATGAAGTTTATTACAAGACTAAGCAGGCACATTTTTAAGGCATGAACATTAAACAATAAAGAATATCTGACTGTGTTTTTGAATATATGCTAGAATTGTGTAAATGTTCTCCATAGTTTGGAGAAATAGTTTGGAGAATAGTTAGAAATTTCAAAGAAATTATTCCTAGGATAATAAAGACCTAGATAATAGGGAAATCCCCCCCCCCCTTGACCTCAAAACAGTAGATATTATCGTCGATTGTAGCTTACTTGAAAATGGGGCAGAGCCAGTTGTCCGAAAAACTGTTTCAAATTTCAGCGCTTACAATCTATGTATTTTATATCAGTACCCTGTATATGAATAGGTAAACAATTATTTGTTTCGTGAAAACACACTTCCATATTCTATTATTTGACGTACATGTACATCAAAGAGGTACAATAATTCAAAATGTGCCTTGATCAATAATTCATATATTCAGATTTCGAAGAAATTTGACTCGAATGATTAAAATGTCAATTGTAGAGTTCCATTCATTCCAAGCAGATTCCATTCTTTCATTTACGCATCTATTTTGCAAACAACATTTGGCATTTTCATTACCTTGTGAGTATATATTAAAAGCGGTACAAAATAATGAACTTTAAATGGTATTTTTTTAAGCTGTAAAAAGGTTTGTATTTATACTGTTTGTGGTTGTAAACGCATGTTTCTTTAACTGAAAATGCTGCTAGGGACACTGCTTTTATTGAACCATCGTCTTTGTCACAAATTCACAAGACTTTCTTTTTGAAACATTGATTAAATTTTTTTCCACGGAATAATTCGCTTTTGGTTCTGTGCATGCGGTGCGATATTGCAGAAGGTCTCACTGGCGTCAACGCGGAAATACTATTACGTACAGGGACAACATTTTGATTGAATTTCATTCCACAAAAAAAACCCGACTGGATGGTTGACATTTAGAAAAGATGCAGAGGTGTGGTGAATGCAATAGGCCATTGTCTGGGTAACCGAGTGCGCAATCAGCTCTGGCTGTGTTGCAAGTCTTGCATGAAAGTCTTGCATGAAATCGATCAAAATGATCTCAGCCAGAGCTGATAACTGCGACGCCTATAAATGCGACTCCGATGGCACATTTGGAGCACAATACTTTATGTATACCTAGATTTATAGCGATATGGGATAAATACCACGTGAGTTTAACATTTCTGCACATATTTTGCCCACATTTACAAACTTCACAAACATCTTTCCCAATTTTTACAAACCATTTTTGTTGAGTAGGCCCAAGGGCGGATCCAAGGGGGGGGGGGCCAAAGGGGGCCATGGCCCCCCCAAAACGAAACCAATTTTTTTTTTTTTATGTGACATCGCAATAAAGGCAGGCAATGAGTACACCACCATCTTTTCCTCAAAAAAACATTGGTTAAAGTGGTCAGAAATTGCCTCAGATCGCACCACAGAGCATCTAGAATCCAAATTTTTTTCGGGGCCCTTAAGCGATCCCCGAACCCCACGCCGTAATTTTTTGGACCCACTTTTTGGGGGACCAAACATTTTTTTGCCCCCCCCCTAAAATTGTGTCCTGGATCCGCCCTTGAGTAGGCCTATGTTATTTTATTTTATTTGCTTTTGAAAAATTAAAATTTTGGTAGTTATATTTTGCGGGAAACATGGGGCCTTATGATAATAATAATACCGAAGTCTATTATAGCGCACGTATCTACCAACAATTAGGTACTCAAGGCGCTGGAAATTATGTCTATTATTAGAGACAGGTAAATGAAGTACATGAGAAATATGAGAACCATTATGTAGCACCTTTATAATGGTTTACAAGGTGCTGCGGCGCATTAAGCAGCCACTGCCAGAAACACCGGGGCAAACCTCTTCTCTTAGTGTTAGCGATAAGTGTTACTGGGTTCTTTAACTTGCATTACACAACACACGGGACTTACGGCTTTACGTCCCATCCGAAGGACGAAGCAATAATGGTAAAGCGCTTTGCTCAGGAGCGCACACCATGTTTCCACGGTCAGGATTCGAAGCCTTATTTTTGTCAGTTTTCCGGGGACAGACCTATACCGACCGACCACCAAGTGACATGTAGAAGCTCCTGCCAGAGCTTAAAAAGAAGTCAGTTCGAGAAAAAAAATACTGTCCATCCTGAAGTCAGTGGTGTAACTTAAGGGGGGGGGGGAGGGGTGGGGGTGCCCGTGCCCGTGCCCCCCTCCCCTTAAAATCTTGACTTGAACACAAGTATATCACTTGCCTTCAGGTGCCCCCTTGAAAAAAAGTCTGCACCCCATGTGCCCCCTCAGAAGTTCAACCCTAGTTACGCCACAGACCGTAGAACATTTGTTATATGAATATGATGGGACATGATGTATTACTGTACCACGCATTAGGGCTTATATCCTTGGTTGACGAGGACCGTAGGCCCGTACTTCCGATAAGTAATACAAAAATAGTCTAATAATGGACAACTATTAAACCTGCTCAAATCCAGAGATTGATGCACATTTTTGTAGCCGATTACATTTCCGCCGAGTTCGAGTACGAGTACTTTGCCATGAATATATAATGCCATGAATTCGAGGACGAGTACGGGTACCTGTAACTTGCCATTGGTACGAGTATGAGTACATTGAAATATATAGGGACCATGGTACGCGTATCATTTATTATCATCATCACAACCATCCTCATCATGCCCCTATCGTCCCACTGCTGGGCAAAAAAACCTCTCCCTTTTCTCTCTGTCCCCGGTGTGTATCTTCCAGGCTGTTGTCCCTGTTTCCACCAGTGTGTAAAGTTGCCAGATCGAGGCACTGCATGCCCATGGCGGAAGTGTGAAAAGAGCGAATTAGAAAATGATGCGCGTACGGGATACGTCCGTCATCGATGCGGCTCGCAAAAAACCGGCCTACTATAATTATACATTAACATTTTGTGTGAAAAGTACAACAGGCCCAGATATCTACATCTGTAACATCTCAACATTTTCATGTGAGATGCACATTGCTGA